CTTCAGTAGAGGAACATCTCTAGTAACGGTCTGCAGTAGAGAAACATCTCCAGTAACAGGCTGCAGTAGAGGAGCATCTCCAGTAACAGGCTACAGTAGAGGAACATTTCCAGTAACAGGCAGCAATAGAGGAACATCTCCAGTAACAGGCTACAGTAGAGGAACATCTCCAGTAACAGGCTGCAGTAGAGGAACATCTCCAGTAACAGGCTTCAGTAGAGGAACATCTCCAGTAACAGGCTTCAGTAGAGGAACATCTCTAGTAACAGGCTGCAGAAGAGAAACATCTCCAGTAACAGGCTGCAGAAGAGAAACATCTCCAGTAACAGGCTGCAGTAGAGGAACATCTCTAGTAAAATGCTTCAGTAGAGAAACATCTCCAGTAACAGGCTGCAGTAGAGGAACATCTCCAGTAACAGGCTACAGTAGAGGAACCTCTCCATTAACGGGCAGCAGCAGAGGAACATCTCCAGTAACAGGCTTCAGTAGAGGAACATCTCCAGGAACAGGCTGCAGTAGAGGAACATCTCTAGTAAAATGCTTCAGTAGAGAAACATCTCCAGTAACAGGCTGCAGTAGAGGAACATCTCCAGTAACAGGCTACAGTAGAGGAACCTCTCCATTAACGGGCAGCAGCAGAGGAACATCTCCAGTAACAGGCTTCAGTAGAGGAACATCTCTAGTAACAGGCTTCAGTAGAGAAACATCTCCAGTAACAGGCTGCAGTAGAGGAACATCTCCAGTAACATGCTACAGTAGAGGAACATCACCAGTAACAGGTTTCAGTTGTGGACAAACATGTTCAGCCAACATCTACAACTACACTGTTGTTACTGTCTGTATTGGAAGGGAGGGGGCGGGGAAGGTTGGAATCAGCAAACTGACCCCCTAACAATCATGAGGTAGAAGATGGCTCATTAGGAGTTTGCTGAAATCTGATGTCTTGGGTCAAGAACAACACAAGTTCAAGGTCTGTGCAGAGAAACCAATGCCTAAGCCACCTGGCAATGCACATGATGGTGATGAGATTGGCTGACAGCCATAGCTATCAGTCAGCTTACCAATCTCTTATAACCAGCCAGATAGGTATGCAGCCATACACAGCTTTAGACAGTAGTGCAGACAGAAAAGTAGGTATTGATGAGAAATACATAAATGGGAATGTAAAAGGACTGATAAGCTTTCAATGGTGATCTAAGAGATCTGTGTCATTTTTGTATGTCAGTCAAGGAGCCCAAAGAATGGTAGATAAAATGGCAAGCTGACCATATCAGATTTGTTCATGTGATGTAAGTGTGAACAGTTAATAGAACAGTTGAACTGTAGTAATGTTTAAATCCTGACCTTGACCCTGCTCATTTTTGGGGGGAAATGTATCTAAGTATTCACTTGAAGTTTTGCTTAGTGTTTTATCAGTATGAATTGCAACTTCAACCTACTTTAGGTTTGATTGAATTCAGGGATCATCTTCAACTTGCTGTGAAACTAACCATTTGTGCTGGTATCTCCAACAGGAGAATCTCATCTCTTAACATCTGTAGCACTAGCAAGGATCCCAGGGTGAATCTCAGAATCCACATGTACTGTAAGATTCATCCATCCAAACAAGACATTGAAACAGTTGGTGTCAGTAAGGCAAGAATCACCTGTACTGCAACTTCTAAAACTACAGTGTGACTGTGGTTATTTCAGTCATATTTTTCAACACAGGTTGGTAATTTTGTAGTATTGACTTTTACATTTAACTGGAGTTTTATTTTTGTTGACAATGCTGCTGTTTTCATCTTCCAGTATTAAAGGAGGAGCAATGGCTGAGTGGTTAGAGCATTGGGCTCTCATTGTGGAGACCCAGCTTTGATGTTTGATGAGGGATGGAGATTTTTCTGTTGGGGAAAATATAAAAATCCTAACCTGCACTAGACATGATGCCTTTAATCTTCCTGTCCTTCATCGCCCTGAGTGATGCTTTAGGAAAATAAGTGTTTCATATACTTGGGGAAATATAGTACTTGCACCAGGTAAAGATAATCTGCATTGTTTGGGCAAGACATGAAAAGGGGAAAACTAGAGTATGTTCTGACAGTGGGAAAATTAAAGGAGAAGGGAGAACGAGAAAAGATGTTTAACCATTATGGCATACAAACAAATAATGTATCCTAAATGATTGACAGTATGTGTGATAGAAGGCTGTGGATCTATATTATTACCAATGCCACATGGGCTAAAAACATAACTGTTTCAGAACTTTCTAGAATACTAAACTATTTCAGTACTTTCTAGAAAACATAACTACTTCAGTACTTTCTAGAAAACTGAACTACTTCAGTACTTTCTAGAAAACTGAACTACTTCAGTACTTTCTAGAAAACTGAACTACTTCAGTACTTTCTAGAAAACCTAGCTAATTCAGTACTTTCTAGAAAACTGAACTACTTTCTAGAAAACAACTACTTCAGTGACTAGAAATATGCCAGTACACTTAACCCTTAGTACACAGGTACTGCTTTATTAGGACAATGAAAGCTGTACTGTAAGTGATATTTGTTATCACTACCTGCCTGCTGCATTATCTTCAATTTTTACAACACATCTTTTCTCCAGTAGGCCGTATTCTGTCTGCCCCAAGTGAGAAAGTGGACCTTAGTCTTGTATTGTAGTTTCACTGTGTCATATCTGATAGTGACGGTTCAAATTGGCTTGGACAGAACTATGTACATTATTTCTGATAGTCAACGATAAGAGTAACAACTAGTGGCATTGAAGGCCTGTGGTTCACCTGTGTGGATGGATTTTATGATAAGGGACTGAGAACAAAGACACGATCTAGCCGGTTTTTAGCCTCACTTATGATTATTGCATACTACATGCTTCTGAATAACCGTGAAGAAAACCTGTGGGGCTACTGAAGTTTTGAAAAGTAAGTCATATAATGGCATTTTCATTTTGTGAGGTGAATTGAGTTTCAGGGACTCATCCTCATGTAGCAGGTCCTTTGCATAATCTTGCTCCCATCATGGCCTACCTGAAAGAAACTGTCCCTGACCAACTCTCCAGAGACAAGATGCTGTTTACAAGCCAGTTTTCCTTGATTTACATATCTTCTAGGATGTCACTATTACTTTTCTACTTGATCTATGCTATTCTAAAAATATGTCTGTAGCACCAGCTCAAAAGCCCCTATTTTCTTCACTAATGATTGTGAGCTACTCCAAGACTCACACCCGTATGTTGTTACAGAGAAGATGCATGCTCTCAAAATTTTAACTTTGATTCGCTTGCTGGCACTTAGCCATAGACTTTTAATGCTGTTAAATCTTTGCATTGCTATTTGCCATATACCTTTTAACTTCTACTGTTGCTGTTTGTTATGGAAAATAGATATTACAAGTTTGTGACATTTTGAATTTCTTATAAAGTTATTGTTATTTTTGGATGACATGCAATTTTGTCTGTGCACATTATTTTTTGTTTCTTTAAATTCAGTAGATGGTTTTAATTTTCACTGTTTTTGAAGCAAGCACATTATTGTTTACACTGATGGCTGATATGATCAGTGCCGTACTGGCTGCTCTTACTGCCTATATTTCCTGGTATCTAGTTTTAGGTTTGGTCATCCTGGAAACCTTGGTCACTTGTGAACCTTACTGATGTTTCAAACCTGAGACCACTAGGCTAGCATGCTAGCCATTGTGCTACTGCAGTTCTTCTTTTGTGGCTGTCCATCATGTCTACTTTAGTGGCTGTCCATCATGTCTACTTTTGTGGCTGTCCATCATGTCTACTTTTGTGGTCATCCATCTTTTCTACTTTTGTGGTTGTCCATCATGTCTACTTTTGTGGCTGTCCATCATGTCTACATATGTGGTTGTCCATCATGTCTACTTTTGTGGTTGTCCATCATGTCTACTTTTGTGGCAGTCCATCATGTCTACTTTTGCGGCAGTCCATCATGTCTACTTTTGTGGCAGTCCATCATGTCTACTTTTGTTGCAGTCCATCATGTCTACTTTTGTGGTTGTCCATCATGTCTACTTTTGTGGTTGTCCATCATGTCTACTTTTGTGTCTGTCCATCATGTCTACTTTTGTGGCTGTCCATCATGTCTACTTTTGTGGCTGTCCATCATGTTTACTTTTGTGGTCATCCATCATGTTTACTTTTGTAGCAGTCCATCATGTCTACTTTTGTGGCAGTCCATCAACCTATCCTTAACTCTTCCAGTACCAAACAATTCGCCATGTGTTTTTGTGTCTTAACTTTAGTCATGGAACACATTTGTCTCCTACATTTTATTGTATATTTAGTCCCTGAGGATATAGTATACCTATAATTTTGTTGTCATTACCGGTACAACTTAGCATCAGCTATGATCTTATGGGGCTAAATGAGAGGGGAAAAAATGAAGAGTTCGGGGGGGGGGGGGGCCGGGCCTCATGTCTTCCACAGTTATTGGGTGCTGCGTGGTATGGTGTCTGACTCAAGTGCTATAGGTTCTGGGTTCAATCCTCAGTAAGGGCTGGGATTTTTTCACATGGACTTGGACTTCTAGTAATTCTCTAGGTAGTAAGATCGGATGCCCGTGTGCATTGTTGCGCACGTAAAAATTCCCTTGGCAGTTGGAAATCGGAAATAGTAGCCAAATGGCACTGCCGGGGCAAAAATTTTGAGTTAAAAATCTACCCTAAACTATTTCAGGATCCTTGCCAGTGCACAGAGCCTGTGCACTGTGCTGAGCTTCTTCGTACTCAGACTTCAGTTAGAAGAAGAACCGAGCACTTATGGGTTACTACATGTGTGCCATGATGTTGACCCTTTGTTCACACCTCAAATCTTCCACAGCTATTGTGGTAATAGATTTTAAAGCTGTGCCCTAAAAGATATTTGTAAAGACTTCATATTTTCAGTGTTGTTGTATTTCAGATTAGTAAAGTTCTATTTGTTTTCTTCTAAATTTTCAGCTTTTTAATACTATGGTGTTTTGTTAGATTTGACTCCTGAAAATGAGAATAGCTGTGATTGGCCAGAGTGTATTTGGTGCTGAAGTATTTCGGCTCCTCCGTCAAAATGGACATGAAATCGTCGGTGTGTTTACAATTCCTGACGTCAATGGAAAGGCAGATCCACTTGGTAACATTCATATACATTTTTTTTTTTTTTGTCAAATTTGCTTGTCATCAAAGAATGTTCACTCTAGTGTTATCTTTTCAAAAACTCATTTTATTAGTAGTTTCTCCTGATTGGTAATAGTATTATTAAGCTTATTGCTTCAGATCAACACAGTTGAAACTGTACTATTGCATGCATATGACACATGTGCAATAAGCAGACATACTCAGAAACATCTGATGGCAACAGAAATGTGGTTTATGTGAGAAGTGCAAAGAGTACCATGAACACAGTGAAAACAGTCAAGGCTGGCCTTCAGATACTTGAGAAATTTGATGTAAACAGTTATGATGAACAGACATGTTATGAGGAGAAATAAACTTGAAAACTGTGCGATATCTGGGAAACTGATGGGAAAATAACAAGGGGATGATAGAGGGATAAATGTCTAGATGATCTGGCCATTTAGACAAGAACTCAGACCTGATCCATGACTTTTGGTAGTACTAGATGAACAAATGAATGAGATAAAATCAAAACCACCCAGGCTTAAAATGTAGGTCAATGTCAGGAAATGGACAAGTCTGTATGAATGATTTACAGACATATGCCAGAATAGTGAATGAACAAACTTCATTTTCAAAAGGTCACAATTTGAGCGCACAGGCTGATTTTACATTCAACCCTTCCAAACGCTCATCTTTCACTCAGCAGTTGTGTTTTATCTATAAAGCATGTTACGTTCATACAACAGTATACATAATATGAATATCATGTAAAACATGGATAGTATATGCATACAGATATACATAATTATATGCATACACACTTTTTTCACATGTCTGTATTCACACACTCATACAAAACCATGCAGAAAGTATCGTACATACCCGTACACACTTATATATATGGGGGGTGTTCATGGCCAAGTGGTTAAAATCATTTGCTTTGAGCTCTGAGGGTCATGGGTTTGTTTCACAGCTGTGTCTTCAGTTTACGTGTGCAATTTTTACTTAGACCACTGGGGATCTTTGCTGGAACTGTTGAGTTTGTGCTTTGTGTGATGCTGTCGGCAGATGGCTAGCCATTCTGCAAAGAGAGACCAAGCCATATTGGGGAAAACCAGTGCAGTAAAGTCGATCTTCACGAATAAAACTTTTTTTTTTTTTTTTTTAAACTTATATTTACACCTCAGACATGCACATATTAAAACACACACACTTATACATACACCTACTTTTTTTTTTTAACACATGCATACACATAGAATGGGTACAATTATACATATCATATGTATATACACACACATACTCGAACACACTTAGTAAAATACAGACATGTGCATACATACCTACCAGACATTCCTCATATATTCACATACGTACATACATGCATACACACCCACTCACATTCATACATACACATTCCTACTAACACCTACATACGCCCACTCACATTCATACATACACATTCCTACTTACACATACATACAACCACTCACATTCATACATACACATTTTACTTACATATACATACACCAGCTCACAACAACACATAAAAACACAGACTCTCATACATATCCTCACAAACACACACAAATACATTCATACACATAACCACATATATACTGGAGACTCTTTACAGCTGACCACTTAGGGGATGGCACATGATGATGGTGATTACCGATGCACTATAAGAAGTTATCAGTTGACAGTTAACCAGTCCTCTGCTGTACTGTATCTTTCAGCTGTTGCTGCAGAAAAGGAAGGTGTTCGAGTGTTTAAATATCCCAGATGGCAAGTTAAAAAACAGGTATCTATTTATTCAATAGTTTTAACTGGCATAAGGGATCATTATTGATGCTTATTGTAAACAATTCTGGAGCACATCCTGACACAGTTTTTAGTGGAAGGCTCTGGGTTTATCTGATGATTTTACTCTACATATGGATTACTGATTCATTATTGCTTATATTTTATATTTTTAAAAGGTTTCGACATCCAACATATATGTCATATTATTTTGCAACCAACTGCACCTTTCAGAAACATTTAACAGTGTTGCATTTGCTGAGTGGTCAAAGTTTTCAAATTCATTATTTGTTTATTCAACTTCCCTAAGTCATTAAAATAAGATATTAGTCGGTTGTCAACAAGATTATATTGTAATTAAGTTGTAAAGTGGTGGGATGCTGACCACATCACCCATCTTGTGTCGATTGGTCTATAAGAATATAGGTCTAGCCCTATATGCCCTATACGCCTGATGGCGTGGAAAAGGGTCCTTTACTTTTTATTTTACTAAGTTGTAAAGTATCAGTATATGTCACGTTACTTGTGTGTTACTGGCATCCTTAAGGGAAGAAGGTAAAAGTAAAACTGTAATCTACCCTGCATGTCATGAGAACAACTAAGTTTACTTGAAGCTCCATTCAGTGGAAAACTTAAGCATCGGTATCCAGGCAGTTATGAACATGCCTATAACAGGCATGAATTGGTTGAGAGCTTATGCTTCATTAGGAGATGAACAGGAGGAGGACAAGAGTCAGGAAACCTTCGTGTGAAAGAAAATTATCTTATGTAGTCACCACCTTTGTCTTATTGTGCATTCATGTGAGGACATCACTGTGCAGCTTCCGGGGCCCCTTTCTGGGGGGGGGGGGGGAGAAAAGAAAAGACCCACAGCCCTCCTAACAAGCCAGTCGTAAAATTAACTAATTAGGGGTATTGTGTTCCAAGTCAGAGTGTATTTGCTTGAGAGGCAGGGATCCAACAGTTTACTTACAAATAAACCAGATCTGTAAAATGGATGTGTATGCAAAACTCAAGCTCTGGAACAAGACTGAAGTCCAGAAGTGGACAATCAACGAGAACCCTCCGCCTAAGTTTACAGCCCATGAACACATTGAAGAAGAAAAATATGTGAGGATACAAGTGTGTTGTGTCCGTTTACAGCATGACTGCAATATGTATTTACAGGCAAATCTACGTAAAAGAAAAATTGTTCATAACCCTCGTTGTCATGCATGGTTTATAGTGGCTTAAAACAGATACCTAAAAATAGTTATGCCTTCCTTTCAGGTAATTCCAGAGATCCTAGAGGAGTATAAGAGTCTCAACCCAGAACTGAACGTGCTTCCATTTTGCTCCCAGTTTATCCCAAATGAAGTTATTCTCTTCCCGAAACATGAAACAATCATCTACCATCCTTCCATTCTGCCAAGGCACAGAGGAGCATCGGCAATCAATTGGTAGGCAGTCTCATTGTCTTGTCTTTGCTACATTGTTAGTAAATTTTGTTGTTTTATTACAAGAGGACAGCAGTGCTACCTGAAGATGGACAGTATTCTGTGATTTGCAGGTAAATGCCTATATTGGTGCACGATTGACGAAAGTTTGGAGGCACACACTGGCAGATTTTTGGCTCTTAGACACAGTTAATTGATTAGTATTTCCTAGTGTGGGTTCCGTGGCTCCATTTTGGGGGGACAAGAATAGATCTACCGCCCCTTTAACAAACATGTTGTTAAAGTCGACTAATTGAAAACATTTCCTTCGAAGCTGGAGTTCATTTGCCTGAGAGGCAAGGAGCAAACAGTCTGCACACAAATAGCAGGATCTGTAAAATGAATGTGCACTCATAGCCCAAGTTCTGAAACTTAGAAACTGGCTAACAGCCAGAACTTTCTACCAGAGTTAACAGCTGGCGAACGCTAAGAAGAAGAATATATTAGTACTGCTTCTTGACATGAATATGAATCATCGTCAGTGTCAGAGTGTTGTAGTCTCTGCCTAACTCTTATTTTTCTGGCATTCAACACTATTATAACTTTTATTAGCTCAGAACAAATATTTCTCTAGGCTATCGCGTCTGTGAAGAACACAATGGCTGCTGCTACAGCTCTAGCCTTATCTCTAATTTGGTCAATGGCTCCAGCGTTGTCGCCCACCATTGCCTTTGCACCATCAGTGCATATGTCCGCACAGTCTTCCTGTGGTATTTCATTTCATGAGAAGAATCGGTCCCAAAGATGAGATATTCACCGTTTGATACCTCAGTTGGTAGTGGTCTGCAAAGAAGAAGATCCTCCTGATAGCTTTGTAAGTAAACATGATGCACAGATACCTTTAGAATGTCAGCCTGGTGACTTCAGTCGATTCACCCACTTTTAGTGTGAATTTGCAAGTCCTTGTGTGATTGATAAGTGTTTCTTTCACACACGCAGAGCCCTAGGTGCTTCGCAGAGCAATGGCTGGGAACTGCTGCTGCTGTTATACACAGTCACATTCTGTAATAGCCAGTATGTTATTGACATTGTATTCGACAGGACTCTGATGTGTGGTGACAAGAAGGGAGGATTCACCATTTTCTGGGCTGATGATGGTCTGGATACTGGGCCCATCCTTCTAACAAAGACCACTTATGTAGATCCTAATGAGACTGTGGATTCTTTCTACAATCGCTTCTGCTTTCCAGAGGGAATTAAAGCCATGGTAAGTTATTAACCTGTGTCTGCTTTGATAGAAAAATGTAAGGATCCTTGTACCTGCCTTGAGGTGTCTTGAATAAATGAATCCAGGGCCATATTTTATAGGCCAGCTTACCTGACCTGTGCTGAGGTCCAAATCACACCAGCCGGCTTTACTTTCCAGATAATTTTCTGGCATCTATTTCAGGCTTCTTCAATAATGATGCCCAAGTAAATTTTTTTTTTTTTTAAATTGCCACGTCAAGGGGGAATTCTGATACATACATGCATGGCTTATGGGTTATAGATGTAGTTGTATAGCTAACCTCTCGGACTGCAAGTGTTTTGGTAGTAGACCACTATTTGTTGATTTTGACAACAGTATTCAAGCAAGGGCATGAAGTCAGCTTATCACAAACATCACAAAGAGACAGTCATCATTTTTTGGAGAGGCAGGAAGGGGGTAGGGAGGTCATTTTGTGGAAGAAAACTAGAACTTGTTGTGACAATTAGAAGATCTATGGGAAAACAGACAGAGGAAGAAAGACAACTTGTGAAGATTCTTGACAGTCTTTTTGTCATGACATGGAGGAGTGTCAACAAATGAACTGATACATTCTGTTAAAAGGTTGTGGAAAAGCACAATCGCCCACACTGTCTGACAAGGCACTTGATAATGATAATGATAAGTGTTGACTATACAGAGGCTGTGGCAAACTACTGAACATAACATTTCCTAGTAAAACTAAAAACTGCTGGGGATTGCTTACAGTGTATTGTAAAGTATATGCAACTAACTTCTAGTGAAGTGCACTGAAATTAAAGTACTGTGTGTACATTGTAGAACTGGAGAAAGTGAAGAACCTGAGGTCAGTCATAAACAGAAACACAGAGGATCTGATATGATTGTTTACAAGCTAGAAATGATTGAACACCTTGAAAATGCAGTTACACATGATTGAATTTTCGTCAACAAAATAATTGATTTATTGCCACAACTTTTGTCACAGGGTGAAGCCGTGGAGCTGATAGCTACTGGTCGGGCTCCCAGAATAGTTCAACCAGAAGAGGGAGCTACTTATGATGCAATGATCAAAAAGGACAAAGTGCAGGTAATATACATGTACATTCATGCTTTAAGTGGTGCCTGCACAGAATAGAAGGAGTTCATATTAAGTGAATAATCACTGATGCCAAGCTTGGGGAAAGACTAAACTTCAGTGTTTGTCCCTAAAAAAGGTAGTCGGCAGTTTGTGTTTCAGTCTTTTGACCCAACATATCCATTTTCAGCATACCCCTAATTAGTCAGAGAGCTGTCATGGTGTAGCAGCTAGGCGCTTGCCTGCGAATCTGGAGGCTATGTGTTCAGGTCCTGATGGAACCAGACCTTTTTTAGAAAGACCTGGACTCCCAAGCCACCCTAGCCTTAAGTCGGTACCAGGTAACATCCTAGGAAGAAAAGGCAGCTAATGTGATGTTGACCGATTGGTCTGTGAAATATAGGTTCAGCCCAGTAAGCGTAGAAGCATAAAAAAGGGTCTTTTACTGACCAATGAGTTGCCTTTTACAACGTGCTTGTTGGGGGCAGTAGGAATCTTCTGTTGTTACCCTCAAAATGAGGCCACAGAACCCACACAGGGTGAAAGAACTTAACAAATTACATTGAATCAAAAAATTAATGAAAATCAGCAGATACTGAAATGATCATGCAATGAGAATGGGGTCATAGCTTCAGCTGGCCAGACATAAATGTGATTTTTCTCGGAGATACTTCAGTTAAGTGATTTTGTGAATTCTTGTTTGCTTTTGTAGTGTTTTATATTATTGTAATGTGCTGATGAAAGCATTCTAGCCATAACATTCACTTGTCGTTTGTGTTTGTGATTACGTGAAGCTGACTGCTTATTTTTTTCATTCGGTTTGACATCTTTTCTTTGAGAAAACAGGACAGTAGTATACTAGAATGTCCTTTCATTGCAACTGACAGGGCAAAAGAGATAGACACAAAAATTCATGAAAATAGAATTGGAGACATGCATAATATGTGGGAGGAGCATCGGTATCCAGGTAGCTGCAGAAGATAACAGATATTGGATGGCTTTGTGTGTGTTGGTTGAGGGCGTATGCACTAATTGGAGAAAAAAAAGGCGAAAGAAGTCAAATCTGTTTAATGAAATGAGAAAGTAAAGTTACCACAGTTAAGGCAAATGAGACATGATTGATTCAAATAAGACATGTTTGATTTGTCAACTGTATTTTACTGAATATTTAGTTTCACCAGTGTTGAAAACATTCACATGTACTTTTTTTTTAAATTGTTCATTATCAGATCAAATGGGACCAGCCAGCTCAAGATATTCACAACTTTATTCGTGGAAATGATAAAGTTCCTGGAGCTTGGACTAAGATCAATGGAGAGGTTTGTTTTACACATTGTCTTGATAACCTCACTGGAAGTAGTATAGAATAAGCCCTGACATCATTTGGAAATTAAAATACCCATTGACAACAGTTATAGTATGTATGGGTGCTAGTATACACATTGTAGTATTCCTTGCCAGTCTCCTGAATACTTTGTGGCATTGAGATCCTCCTTAAATGATCTTTGAGAGGAGACTGAGAACCTATAGAGAAATCTGTGTGCTATGAAGATGGTCATTTACTGATTAATGAGGACCATCACCACAGCACTCCGGACAAATCCATATGAAAGAAGATCTTCGTTTTCATAATGTATCTGACACCACTTGAAGTTGCTCAAAACATTATCTTATTTCAACAGAACACTGTGTAGTGGGGCACCATGGTTCAGACTCTATAAGTCCAGATTAAATTGATTGTCGGCTTGAGGTTTTTTCGGTATTTCTTGAAGTTTGGTAAATGTGTGTGTTGACTTGTGGTGGAATTTTCACTTATACATCTCTCTGAAATAGTGAGTTTCAAATTACTGTTACCAATTGTTTCACAAAATCACTTTCAAAACTGACATAGTAACAACTTAGATTTAATGTTACATCCTGGGATTAGCTTCATGTTTCTTACGTGTTAATTTTGCAAGTGTACAAGTTAGAGAAACATAGGTAATTACAGTTTTATAACTGAAATGTTCCATACATACCATCATCATCCTGCCATGCTATTACATGTCACAAAAGGCTCACAGCCTGGTCACCATTCCAGTGTATTCTGTGCAATCCCTTTGATCTATCTATCTATTGTCTTCTTCACTTTTACCGGGTTGCAGCCCAGTGTCGTGGTTTAAAATATTTGTTTTGTGCCTCTCGCGTGATTTGAGTGACAGTTTTCTGGATCTTCTGGCCGTATTCAGCTACTCCATCTATCCATTTTTTCCTGGGTCTTCCTCTGACCTTTCTTCCTGATGTTCTACTGTAAAAGGCCTTATAAGCAATCTGATCCGGTTGCATTCTTACTAAATGGCCAAACCACTTCATTCTCTGTCTTTCAATATGTTCCATGCATGCTCTTGTTCCAACTTTGTCTCTAATGCTGACGTTTGTGACTCTGTCTCTTCGTGTATTGTTGGTGACTCTTCGGAGACATCGCATTTCACACGTAGTTATTTTTTGCATATGTGATTTGTTCATTGTCCACGTTTGGCACTGATAACATAACGTAGGGATGAAAATGCTGTTGATCATCCGTTGTTTGGCTGGTAACGAGATCTTTGGATGACGAAGAAGTGGGGCCAGTTGGTAGTTGACTGCATTGGCTTTTTGAACTCTAGCCTGTATCTCTTTATCGAGTCTTCCATCTTCTGTAAATATGCATCCTAAGTACTTGAATTCTTGAACTTGTTTTTTTATTGTATGTCATTGATCTTTATGTTTACATTACTGTGTTTCTTTCCTATGGTAATCCCTTTGATATCATCCCATTACTTTAAATGTGACATAATGATGTTACTTTCCCAACAGATAATGACATTTTAACAAATTTATATTTTCTTGTAATCCACAGAAAATTACTTTCTTTGGTTCTCGCTTGTGGACCCGCTTGCCTCCATATGGTACAGAGGTTGTTGTTGAAGGAATGAGCAGGCCAGCCATTGTACATAAAAGAGGAATGATTCTTTTTGGCAATGATGGGGGAATGGTAAGTAGCATTTATGCCTGGCCAAGTTTATACTATTCTTCTAATCTCCTCTTATACTGTTTCAAGTATGGGCTATGTCCATGCACCAAGCATCTCATGCTGGCAGTATCCGGCTTGGCTAGCTCTTCCTTTGGTGGTAAAAAACAAAAATGAGTAGACTTCCAATGAACGATAGAAAACCCAAGCCAGCGACCCTCTACACCAGAAAACTGAGACAGTGAGGTTTCTGGCTAATGGGGCTCTGCGTCACCAGGTGGGTTGGGATCCCTCTGGTTAAATACTTCCTTAAACTGAAGAGATATTGTTACTGGATCAGACGTGACAATATCAGGAAACTAGCTTTGACGGAACCAGTATAAACTGCATCAAGAAATATTGTGTCAAAACCATCACCAAATTAGGCAGCACAGAGAACGCTGTCACTTACATACAATGGAAGCAGATCTAGAAGTCAACGATGAATAGATAGCATATCCAAGGCTGTAAATACTAGCATCTCCGTAACACTTACCATTGCTGACATCCAGTGCCTGTACAAAACTGGAAGACAGAACAGGACTAGGGAAGAAAAAGAAGAAGACTGCTTCAAGTCAGGAGGGGCCGGCTAAACGATTAAGGATGTGTGGCTTATGTAGGGAGCCCAGGTTTGAATCCTCATATGGTTACGGATTTTTTTTCTGCCCAGAGCAAAAGTATTATCCTGTCGTAACCTGCACAACAGACAGTGAAGATTCTTTTACTGTAGTTTCCTGTTTCTGCTACACAACAGACAGTGAAGATTCTTTTACTGTAGTTTCCTGTTTCTGCTACACAACAGACAGTGAAGATTCTTTTACTGTAGTTTCCTGTTTCTGCTACACAACAGACAGTGAAGTTTCTTTTACTGTAGTTTCCTGTTTCTGCTACACAACAGACAGTGAAGTTTCTTTTACTGTAGTTTCCTGTTTCTGCTACACAACAGACAGTGAAGTTTCTTTTACTGTAGTTTCCTGTTTCTGCTACACAACAGACAGTGAAGATTCTTTTACTGTAGTTTCCTGTTTCTGCTACACAACAGACAGTGAAGATTCTTTTACTGTAGTTTCCTGTTTCTGCTACACAACAGACAGTGAAGATTCTTTTACTGTAGTTTCCTGTTTCTGCTACACAACAGACAGTGAAGATTCTTTTACTGTAGTTTCCTGTTTCTGCTACACAACAGACAGTGAAGATTCTTTTACTGTAGTTTCCTGTTTCTGCTACACAACAGACAGTGAAGATTCTTTTACTGTAGTAGTTTCTGCTACACAACAGACAGTGAAGATTCTTTTACTGTAGTTTCCTGTTTCTGCTACACAACAGACAGTGAAGATTCTTTTACTGTAGTTTCCTGTTTCTGCTACACAACAGACAGTGAAGATTCTTTTACTGTAGTTTCCCGTTTTCTGCTACACAACAGACAGTGAAGATTCTTTTTACTGTAGTTTCCCGTTTCTGCTACACAACAGACAGTGAAGATTCTTTTTACTGTAGTTTCCTGTTTCTGCTACACAACAGACAGTGAAGATTCTTTTACTGTAGTTTCCTGTTTCTGCTACACAACAGACAGTGAAGATTCTTTTACTGTAGTTTCCTGTTTCTGCTACACAACAGACAGTGAAGATTCTTTTACTGTAGTTTCCTGTTTCTGCTACACAACAGACAGTGAAGTTTCTTTTACTGTAGTTTCCTGTTTCTGCTACACAACAGACAGTGAAGTTTCTTTTACTGTAGTTTCCCGTTTCTGCTACAAGCAAATATAGCTTTAAGTTATTTTAAAATTAACTTATTTTTCTGTCCATAAACAGATAAATGTAAGTCAGATCCAGCATGAGAGTGGCAAAATGATTCCTGCCTCTAAATTTGGAAAGGAGGATGCTTCCACGCAGAAGCTAGAACTGACCCCAGAGGAAGAAAAGATCAGTGAGAAACTTCAGGTAATTACTCGTCTGTTGAGAATAGCTCTGAAATTGTTTAGGATTGGGTTCAGGCACATATTTAGACAAAGATGAGGGAACAGAATTATTAAAATAAGAATACAAAACAGCAAGTGGAGCAAGCACTCGTAACGCTAAGAAATTGGTGAAATTCACAAGAAATTAAAACTTAGCATCAAACTGAGTATATATTTGTGCCATGGTGGTTGTCTAGATAGGTGGTGAATATTCATTAACTGGTGCCTGGACATAATAGAAGGAATTAAATAATATGATAGAACTATTCCCGTTGAGCTTAGGGGAAACTAAATTAATTCTAGGATGCCAGGAGAGGAGACTGGTGCTTGATAAATTTAACACCCTAATATAACTAGAATGCTCATTCGTGGGAACCCACACATGATAAAAAGAGGGGGAGTTGTGTGTGCTTGGCATGAGCTTGTATGGCACAGATAGAAAAGGGAAAAGAGAAAAGAATGTATGTTCACAGAGAAGGTTGGTTCTTGTTTTACTATATGTTATCACAAACACTAGCAGATTGTTTCCAACCAGACCAACCATAAGGTCTATGAAGCAGATGGTAGATAATTCTCAGTATTTTCTGGTAATTATCTGAGAAGGATAGGTTGGAAGAGAGGAATTCTTCTTTCCCACACCTCACACCTCATCAGCATTGTGTATCATGTGACTACCTTAGCCTCAATATATATGTTCATCATCATCAAGTGCCATATACACAGTGTAGTCATTGATGTATTCAGTCTCATACACCTCAGTTCCTCATCTTTAAGTTGCACTCATACAGGCTTTCTTCTTCCAGTCGATCTCTTGATGCTGTCCACCCACATGAACTCTCTTCCTCTTGCATGCTTCCCAAACAATTTTCCCTGAGGTGCTACTTTTAACAAGGACCTTATGTTATATAATCAGAAAGTACTCAATATTCTTACAGTTATATAACTTTAATGTATTTCTAGGCTATCTGGAAGGGAATCTTGAACACAGACATCGATAACTCTTTGGATTTCTTCAAGGCTGGAGCTGGCTCTATGGATGTTGTCAGGTATGAGAGTTATCAGTCACTTCTGATCAATGTTGTGACAATATGCAATGCTTGAAAAGTTGTGAAAATATGCTTTAAAGAATCTTCTTCAATTCATTGTTCAATAATGTCTTGCAGACAGTCATTAGAATTAACAATTTCACAGCCTTCTAAAGTAATGTGGAAGAGCAGGGGAAGGATTGTGCATATGTTGTGTTTTTTGGCTTCATTGGTGTTGGATCCAGTCCTTGAGAAAGAGAATAGGGGCTTTTGAGCTGAAATGCTATAGAAAAATTCTCAGAATATTGTGGACAAAGAAGATGAGAAATATTGACATCTTAAAAGATCTAACATATCAAGGAAGATTGGCTAATAAACAGCATCCTGTCTCAGAAGCTGAAATATTTTGGTCATATCAAGCGCCATGATGGATTGGAAAAGATTATAGCATAAGGCATGGTACCAGGAAGGAGTAGCAGGGGCTGACTGACACGAAGATGAGCACAGGATATAAGTGTCTCCATGAATATGAAAGTACATGAGACGGGAGAACTGGCGATAGACTGAGTTTCTTTCAGGCAGACTGTGATGAGAGCGATGTTCTGCAAAGGACCTGCTACATGATGATGGTGTTGGATCAGTCTTGGCAACTTGGTAACATTTTTGGTAGAACAGTTCATGTAGCACCTGGCTCAGCTGGCTAGGTGAATATTGAGATGAAGACTAGTTTAAAGATGTCAGTCACAGATTAAAACAGAGGAGCGGCTGGCTGAATGGTTAAGAACGCTGTACTCTTATGCAGCTAAAAGATCCTGCCTACACCATCATAAGTGGTAAAGATAGGCAGTAATGACAGTTTTTGACAGTCCAACTGTCTGTATTTATCACCTTTTGCTGTGTAAACAAGTGGGGGGGGGGGGGCTATTTTTTGGTGTGCCTCCGACACATATTTTCAACTCAACTTGCCGATTCTTTGTACCCAGGTCTCCTGGCTGAGAACCCTGTGTTTTTAACCACTGACCCGACAAGCATTTCGTAAAAGCCAGCCAGTTAGAAGTTTGCTGTAATTTGATTTTTTTTAGGCTCTAAAATGCAGATATTGCAGTTGTAAATGACAACACAACATGCCAGCCGCCCTTTTAAAGGTGAATGGAAGGAAAAGAAGATGAATAATGCTGACTGCTTTACAAAAATAACTGTCTAGCTTGGCATGCTTGATGCATCTGTGGCTTGATAAAGGTCCTATGTTTTACTTGTAAATGAATATAGTTTTCAAAGTTTCAGTAAAGTGTTATCTGTTACACTTAGACTTGTGGAGGAGATAAAGGAGCAGTGTGAAGTGAAGATTGCTGTGGAGGATGTCTACATGAACACTGTGTTTGAGGACCTGGTCGCTTGCGTCATTAGAAGAGGTAGAGGCATCGAGGACCAGGAACCTTTCACCTTTCATGCTGTAAGGCTGTTGAATTTGTCCTCAACTAGATCTAGTTTTCTTATCTGTTTTATTTATCTTTGTTTTTATATTTAGTTAAATACACTCTTCTTCTTTTTTTTCTTCTTCTTCTTCTTCTTCTTGAGGTTAGTTGCTGCAACTACCCACCTCCAGTCATCTCTGTCTAGACCCAGGGACTACTTCCTAACGAATGGAAGGAGGCAGAAATAGTACCCATAGCCAAGAAAGAAAAATAAATTCAATTACAGACCCATAATCCTCCTAAGCTGCTTTGAAAAGACCGTGGAAGGGTTAGTAACCAGCTTACTTAATTTCCCGGAAGAAAACAAGATATTGGAAGACAGCTAATCAGTCAGGCTTCTAGAAATACAGAAGCACTGATGACCAAATCTCTGATCTCACACAGGAAATTGAAGATCCTTTGTAGAAAAAAAAATACAGACTGCTAATACTTTCTTTGACCTGATCAAAGCCTTTGATAAGATCTGGAAAAAAGGACTCTTGCTAAAACTAGCACACAGTGGAATAAAAGGGCATATGTTTGCTTGGATTAGAGACTTTATTTACAGATGCTGAGCGAGAGTCAGACTGGAAAAACACAAGAGCAAGAATGTTTCCCCCAGGGAGGTGTTATATCTTCTATCCTGTATATCTTCTATCCTGTTTATTCTATTCATCAGTGACCTCCCAAAACAGTTCACTGCTCACATTTACAAGGCTCTACATGCAGATGACCTCACCATATGGGCCCAAGCTTAACATATAGGAACAACTGAAATAAGAATGCAGGAAGCTATAAATACAGTTAGGAAATTGACAGACTTAGGAAGTCATAATAAACCAGACCAAAACCATCTTGACTCTCTTCTCTCTTTCTACAAAAGCTAGAACAAATTGATCTGTACCTAGAAGGAACATCCTTCCAAAAAAGGAAAACCTCACATATCTGGGAGTAAAATTCAATAAAAGGCTAACCTGGGGTCCTCACATTGAAAACACTCAAAGGAAAGCTACCCTGCAGCTCAGACTTATGAAGAAACTTACTGGAACAAGCTGGGGTGCAGATGCCAACACTGTATGAAAAGTATACACTGGATATGTACGACCAAAACTGGAGTATGGCATGGGAGCATACTCCACTGCAGCCAAAACAAACCTACACAAACTGGATAAAATACAGAACACTGGCCTCAGAATCATCACTGGAGGTATAAGAAGCACACCAATTAATGAGCTGGAGCCAACTTCTGGCCTCCAGAGCTTGAGCCTTCGAAAGGAAGAAAAGGTGTTTACCCTAACAGAAAAATTTTAACTCATGAACAACAACCACATGCACAGAATAGCAATCAACTTAACTAAAAACTGACTAGGAAAAAAAAAGCTTTTACCATCTATCAAAATTTTACTACTCAAAGAAAAAGTGACATATTATCTGAAGATCCTTCAACATAGGAAATGATCCAGGCATACAGCATAGACCTACAGCCTAACTATACAGTCACAACAACAGTCCCAGGCATAGACAGAAAGGCTGAAGAAGGTGACCTAGTACTGCATGCAAAGACCCTTGAACATGTCTACAACTCTTGTCCAAAATCTGAATGCACCGATGGAGCAGAAAAATATGGAGGAGCTAGATCAGTCATCATGCTGCAAGATAGGACCATAGTAGAAAGATCATGCACCTCCAGAAGACTCTCAACAAACTTCAGAGCAGAACAACAAGCAATTATTGATGCAGTCAAAGTCCTTGAGGAAAGAACAATTAAAAACAGAAGAATTATTTTCCTTTGTCACTGCATGTGAGTCCTCCAGGCGACTCAAAGGGATCTACAAGACAACATGAAGAGAGAACTGACCCACCAGCTAAACAAACTCACAGAAAAAAAATCAGATCATTCTCCAGTGGATCTTGGCTCACTGCAGCATACCAGGAAAGGAGTTAGCAGACAGACTTGCAAAAAAATGGAATAAAAGAGAAACAACACACCCATACATTAATACCAGAAATCAGAGCATTTATCAGGTGAAAATACAAGGAATTGTGGAGAATAAACTAACAGTAAGCATTCACAAGACCCCATCAGCAGACTCAACAGAAAGCAACATACGACAATTTTGGTCTACGAACAGGACTTCAGCCTCAACTACCACATGCAAGGAATAAAGATTGTACAGTCCTTACAGTGTGCCTGTTAGACAGGACCACAAACACCTGAGCACATTCTAGACACCTGCCCACTCTACCTACAACTTCGAAAAGACACCTGGCCTCAAGAGCAAACTGTGCAGAGCAAGTTATGGAGAACCATGAAGAACCTGCTGCTGACATGCGAGTTCACAGAGGCAACCCACCTGATGGTCTGATCTGAGCATACAAAACTGAACGCAAAGAAGAAGAAGACAATCATCTTTTTTTTCCAGTAGGTGACTCCAAGTGTTTGAAATCTGCCTGTTTATTACCTCTCCTGTCTTCTTAATTTACCTCAGTCTGCTGCCAACCTCTTTTCCAAATACAGTTTTTGTCTCTATTTGCCATTCCCTCCATGTGCTCCAACTTTTTAATTGTTTGGCTTAAAATATTGTTGTTCTTATTTAATATGCAAAAATAGAATGCTTAAAATCATGTTCCTGTTATTTAATCCACACTTTGATGTTAGAGTATATGAATAAACCATGATGACTAATCAGTTAAGTGAAAATAGTAAATTTTATCAAATCTTATATACTCCAAACTTCAGGTTGAAATTACTGCTAACAAGATCAACCTTAGGATTCCCCACCAGCTGTTCATTGACAATGAATTTATAGATGCATCAGACGGCGCCACCTATAACACTATCAATCCTGCCGATGAATCAGTGAGTTGTGTTTTCTTAACATTTCAGTAAGTCAGCCTTTCATAACCTTTAACCCCTGGAGAAATTCTTGAAATGATTCCATGTTTCAGGAAACAACCCCCAAGCAGAGAAGGTAATCTATGGTATGGGTATAACCGTCTGCATGCAATTGGTTGTGTTCTGCTGAGTAGGCAGCCAGTATCTTCTGCTTTCTCAGGCTGAAAGTTCTGGTGTTCTTCCATTTATGGACTTTTGTTTTGTTTTGTGTGTACATCCATTTAACAGATCTGGCTTGTTTGTATACTACAGTTTGTTCCTTGCTTCTCAGGGCTGATTCACTCTGACTTCGAAGGAAACTACTTATTAGTCATTTTCTGTGGTATACTTGTTAGAGAGGTAGTGGGTCGATTCATTTGTTCCCAACACCCCCCCCCCCCCCCCACCAGAATGGGGTCCAGGCACCACACAGGGAAAACCAGTATCTATTTCGAGTTTATATATATATTTATACACACACACACAGACACACACACATGTTCATTCTGATAATCTTGGCTTTAAAGTGTTTGCCTAAACTTCCATTGCATACAGATATTCTCACTGTTGTCTCAATCTGAGACAGCATGCAGGAAGAGATCGAGACAGACATGCTCCATGCAGAGTGGCAAGCATAGCTTCAGAAGTCCTGGGTCATTAGCATTCTTTGGACATTTTCTCCAGGTCATGCAGATGTATTAGGAGATGAACAGATCTACAGATTGTCTTTTAAGCACCACTTGGTGGTAAATTGATGGTGATTTCTTTACAAGCTAGATATTTTCATGGTACTTTGGGAGCGAGTGCAGAGGTACACGTTTTTCATCATGGTCTGAAGACCAGGGGATCTGGTCAATACTGAGGAAAGGCAAGGTGCACATACAGTCATTTGCTACTGGTACCAGTGGAATTGGAACTATGTACTAGCTACTGAATATATTGACAGAGCGCCTATGGGAATGTCCCCCATGCTATGATATCAGTTTGTATCTGAGTTCAGCTGCCCCAGTTTGCTGCCACAAATCAGTCATGCAAGGAGAATCTAACACAGCACACAAACTCTAGCAACAGCCAGTTGTATAGGTGTATGACTGTCTGATCCTAGCATCCTGTAAATATTCTTGGGTGTGTTTTATAATTTTTAAAGAATGAATCAACCACTCAAGAATGAACATCACTGCACTCGGAACATTCCCACACATGCTCCATCTCCTTACCTAGTACGAACGAAGAGTCGATGTGCTAACAGTACCAGTTGCAGCCTGATTTAAAGTTTGCCTGTTCCCTTCCCTCCCCCCCCCCCCCCCCCCCCCACCTTTCCCTTACTCTGGTATAGGAACACATCTGTGTAGAGCCACATTCGGATGTACCAATGTGATTTTTTTCTTCTGCATTCACAAACTTAGAAGGGCATTTATAATTTTGTGTTATGGTTCACAGCTAGACTGCAACAACACATTCAGTTTCAGTCAGTCCCTTTTTGGTTGTCCGTTACACCATCGTTGTTAAGTGGCGGTAGGCCTATTCCTCCCCATCAACACCAACACCCATCTCCCAGCCCCACTACAGTGGTGCCTCAGATCCCACACAGGAAGAATGTGATCCAGCACAGTAGATATAGACTGTCTGAGATTAGGTCAAGGTAAAGGTTTCCTTCACCAAAAGACAATGCCAACTAGTTTGTGAAATCAATTGAAATGTAAAACTGATAAACCAGTTTACAGTATAGATTTACATGAATTTTTTTGGCTTGTGTTTAGGTAATTTGTAAAGTGAGCAAGGCAACAAAAGATGATGTCAACAGAGCCGTGGAGGCAGCAAAGGTATAAAATAGATTGCTTAGATTTTCTTTTTCTTCCTCTTGTGTGTCCTATATCCGGCAGTCTTCTGTATTTAATGGAATCCTAAATCTAATTTAGCATTAACAGGAGGATATATTCAAGGATGAAGTAACGTGTGTGTGGCCACCTGGCCATTGCAACCATGGCACCCAAGCCCTTCTAAAAAGGGGGATAATCCCACCCCCACATTGGACTGCAGATTAATTTGTAACCAGGTAGTAACGGGGTGCCCTGATATAACCATGTTATGTTGTTAAAGAGGTGCCCTGATATAACCATGTTGTGTCATTAAAGGGGTGCCCTGATTTAACCATCTTGTGTGGTTGAAAGGGTACCCTGATATAACCATGTTATGTTGTTAAAGATGTGCCCTGATATAACCATGTTGTGTCGTTAAAGGGGTGCCCTGATTTAACCATCTTCTGTTATTGAAGGGGTGCCCTGATATAACCATGTTGTGTGGTTGAAGGGGTGCCCTGATATAACCATATTGTGTGGTTGAAGGGGTGCCCTAATATAACTGTGTTGTGTGGTTGAAGGATTGCCCTGATATAACCATGTTGTGTGGTTGAAGGATTGCCCTGATATAACCATGTTGTGTGGTTGAAGGATTGCCCTGATATAACCATGTTGTGTGGTTGAAGGATTGCCGTGATATAACCATATTGTGTGGTTGAAGGGGTGCCCTGATATAACTGTGTTGTGTGGTTGAAGGATTGCCCTGATATAACCATGTTGTGTGGTTGAAGGGGTGCCCTGATATAACCATGTTGTGTGGTTGAAGGAGTGCCCTGATATAACTGTGTTGTGTGGTTGAAGGATTGCCCTGATATAACCATGTTGTGTGGTTGAAGGATTGCCCTAAAATAACCATGTTGTGTGGTTGAAGGGGTGCCCTAATATAACTGTGTTGTGTGGTTGAAGGATTGCCCTTATAACCATGTTGTGTGGTTGAAGGATTGCCCTGATATAACCATGTTGTGTGGTTGAAGGGGTGCTCTGATATAACCATGTTGTGTGGTTAAAGGGGTGCTCTGATATACCATGTTGTGTGGCTAAAGGGGTGCTCTGATATAACCATGTTGTGTGGTTAAAAGGGTGCTCTGATGTAACCATGTTGTGTGGTTAAAGGGGTGCCCTGATATAACCATGTTGTGTGGTTAAAGGGGTGCTCTGATATAACCATGTTGTGTGGTTAAAGGGGTGCTCTGATGTAACCATGTTGTGTGGTTAAAGGGGTGCTCTGATGTAACCATGTTGTGTGGTTAAAGGGGTGCTCTGATGTAACCATGTTGTGTGGTTAAAGGGGTGCTCTGATGTAACCATGTTGTGTGGTTAAAGGGGTGCTCTGATATACCATGTTGTGTGGCTAAAGGGGTGCTCTGATGTAACCATGTTGTGTGGTTAAAGGGGTGCTCTGATATAACCATGTTGTGTGGTTAAAGGGGTGCTCTGATGTAACCATGTTGTGTGGTTAAAGAGGTGCTCTGATATAACCATGTTGTGTGGTTAAAGGGGTGCTCTGATATAACCATGTTGTGTAGTTAAAGGGGTGCTCTGATATACCATGTTGTGTGGCTAAAGGGGTGCTCTGATGTAACCATGTTGTGTGGTTAAAGGTTTGCCCTGATGTAACCCTGTTATGTGGTTGAAGAAGTGCCCTAATATAACCATGATGTGTGGTTAAATGGGTGCTCTGATATAACATGTTGTGTGGTTGAAGGGGTGCCCTGATATAACCATGTTGTGTTGTTAAAGAGGTGCCCTGATATAACCATGTTGTGTGGTTGAAGGGGTGCCCTGATATAACCATGTTGTGTTGTTAAAGAGGTGCCCTGATATAACCATGTTGTGTCGTTAAAGGGGTGCCCTGATATAACCATGTTGTGTTGTTAAAGAGGTGCCCTGATATAACCATGTTGTGTTGTTAAAGAGGTGCCCTGATATAACCATGTTGTGTGGTTGAAGGAGTGCCCTGATAAAACCATGTTGTGTGATTGAATGGGATTTGTCCTGTTTGGTTATCATCCACGAGGTGGTAATTCTATGGACTACAGTCCTGGCGGAAACAGTGACCAACCAACCAACTAGGAGGGAGATGGAGAACATGTCTGTCATTGGTACTCATTTGCCAAATCGGAAGGAGCCCAATGCCGTACTGGACAGAAACTGTCTGGATATTGCTGTTATTACCCAGTATTGGTTAGGTAGGGCACTAACCTCTACACTGATACCTCTTTAGAAGACACTAGAGAATAAAAAACAGGAAGAACATATATATATATATATATATATATATACCTATTCTTGATGATTAATGGTAGTATGGAAGAAGTTTGTTATCCCAGAATGTTTGTATTGATGTCAGCATTGGAAAGGAGCTTTTGCTGATTGACTTGTCAGGGTAAAGTAAACATTCAGATTACAAACTCTACTTCATAATGATAAATATACAAGTTACATATCTAGTGTTAACTACATAAGTGATAAACCTACAGACTCCAGTGCTACCATAAAAAAATGATAAAGATCAAAACCAGAAGCTAGCGTTACTACAAAATAACAAACAAAAATTGCAAACTCTGTTATTACTTTAAAGGTGATAACATAAATAAATTACAGGAAGAGATCATATGAATGTGGTATACTGACACTATCAGTTCTCTAGACTAAGTATGTTATAAGTACAGCTAGTGCTAATGGTGTCTGTATTCCAACCAGGAAGCTTTTGAAGAGGGCGAGTGGGGCAGGATGAATGCCAGAGACAGAGGGCGGCTAATGTTCAGGTAAGACATGAGGGGAGTTTCAAATGGAAACCTTAAATATTGGGGGTGGGGGATAGTTATATTCTTTAAAAAAAAAAAGTAAAGAATACATTTCTCATTTTTCACCACACTCATCGCTGGGTTCGGTGCAAGTCCCTCAGCACTGATAAAGTCCTTGGATTCCTGTAGAGAAAGTTATTCTGCCTGCATGTGTTATCACTCATGTACCATCTGCTGTTCCTCTTCATCAGACTGACAAGTCTTTCCTCACAGTAACTCTCTGAGTTGTCCAAACAGGTGGAAATCACTTGGGGCTAGGGATGGTGAGTACAGGGTAGGCAGGGGGTAGAGAGGAGGCTGACAACGATAGCCCACAAAACAAGATTTTGTACATGTATGCCTGTGGTGGAGGTTTTGGTGGATAGTTTTGTTTATATGTCAGTGTTACCATTTCAAAGTATTATGCTTTCCCTTCCATAGATAACAGGGGATTCAGTAGGATAGATGAAACTAATAAGTTTCTAATTAAATAAAACAATAAGTTTCTAATGTTTCTTGTCCCATTGTTGAAATTTTTTTTTATTTTGAATGGTTTCTAAAGTTTTCATGAGCTTTTGCACAACTTTTGTTATCTTGTACAACTAGTGTTGTGTAATACATCTTGTTGTCTTATACAGTTGTTGTTGTCTTCTACAGGCTGGCAGACCTGATGGAGCAGCACCAGGAAGAGCTGGCAACTATCGAGAGCCTCGACTCTGGAGCAGTCTATACCCTGGCCCTGAAGACACACATCGGCATGTCTGTACAAACATTCCGATATTTTGCTGGCTGGTGTGACAAGATACATGTAAATCTCATATTGTTTTCTCATTTATATGTGACAAGATACATGTAAATCTCATATTGTTTTCTCATTTATATGTGACAAGATACATGTAAATCTCATATTGGTTCTCATTTATATGTGACAAGATACATGTAAATCTCATTTTGTTTCTCATTTATATGTGACAAGATACATATAAATCTCATATTGTATTCTCATTTATATGTGACAAGATACATGTAAATCTCCTATTGTTTCTCATTTATATGTGACTAGCTGTACCCGGCCACTCGTTGCTTTGGCCCAGAATGGTGAAATTGAGAGGAAAGAAAATAGCTCTCAGCTAACAGTGTCTGTCTTACCTCCCCCCCCCCCCCTTCCCCCCGACGCAGTCATATCTCCCTCTCCGAAGGACTGAAAAATCATCCATGGTGAAATTACTAAAATAATAGTTAAATAAGAACTTTAAAATAATATTTAAAGCTCTCTCAGCTAACTGTGTTTGGCATAACCCCCCTTCCCCCCCCCCCCTTTCCACCAATCATATCAATCATATCTCCCTCTCCCTAGGATTGAAAAATAATCATCTGGCGAAATTATTAAAATAGAAACAGTTCAGAAATGAGAACAATAAAATAATATTTTAAGATCTCTCAGCAAACTGTACCTGGCATAACCCCCCCCCCCCCCCCCTCCCTCTCTGTCCCCCAGTCATATCTCCCTCTCCGAAGGAGTGAAAAATCATCACCTGGCAAAGTCATATCTCCCTCTCCGAAGGATTGAAAAATCATACATGGCAAAATTATTAAAATATAAATAGTTAAGAAATGAGAACTTTAAATAATATTTTAAGCTCTCTCAGCTAACTGTGTCTGGCATAACCCCCCCCCCCCCCCCCCCCCCCCCCCCCCCCCCCCCCCCCAATCCCCCGCTCCCCCAATCATGACATCCTCTCCGAAGGATGGGAAAGTCACCACGTGACGAAATATTATAACTAAATTGAGCTTGGCATCCGTGTCCACCCAGACTTAAATAGGTAGCAATAATTTGTACTGAGAAGTAAATGTGGCCAGTGTAACAGCTACCACATCATCCATCCAGTACCAGTACTACTGCAACCACTACCACCATCACCATCACAACAACAAAAACAACAAAAACTGTCACTACAGTCTGTGTAGGTCGGTGTAGAAAAGAAGAGTTAGCGCTGCATGCTGTCACCACGGACTATTTAGTTTAATGTTGCCCCCGACATAGAAAAAAAAACTTCATCACGTAACCAGTGATGGAACCCACAGTAAAAAGTACACAATACTCACGAATAGAGGAGAAAAATACCCCGCACCCGTCATCTCTCCCTCTCAGAAGGAACAATTTTTGACTGACCTCGGCATCCGTGTCCACCCAAACTAAACTGGACTGTAAACCGCCTTAGTTAACAGTTTCTGTCATCGCCTAATAGTTTTTGATCGAGAAGCGTTGCACGGAGGCTAACTGGGACTTAAGTGAAATCGGATGTCTTTGGGCGAAAGGCGCAGATATAGCAACCTAGCTGTAACCCACAACACAACGTGGCAACCACCCTTTTAAGGGAAAAAGAACAATTATCACCCAGCAGGGAATCGAACACCGGTCACCAGCATGAAGGATGGAATACTTATAACTATACTACCGAAGACTGAAGAGTTTAGGTCAGATATCGCAGCCTAGCTGTAAATCTCAACACAGCGTGCCAACCGCCCTCTCGAGGGCGAACATAGATTACCCGGGACATGACCATTGAGCATCACTGTCACAGGCTAGTTGTAAACCCCAAAACCGAAAAAAGGCGTAGATATCGCAGCCTAGCCATAAACCACAACACAACGTGTGAGCCGCCCAGTTAAGGGCTAAAAAAAAGTTATATCACCTAGTGGTGAATCGAACGCGTGTCACTCGCATGATAGGCAGAATGGTTACAACTACGCTACCAAACCCTCAAGCATAAAGTGGAAATGAAATTATATAGTAATGCAAAGTTCAATAAGAGCTCAGCAGTCAAAAATAGCCAATCAACTAAAAACAAATCCGGGTCGGCAACGAAACAAAAAATGATTAGACCTTTGCTGGAGCTACGTTGTTTGTGGTTTGTGCAATTTTCTGACAAAAACTCACGCTTTGAGTCAAAGGAACGTTGCGTGAAAATTTGAAAGCAATCGGTTCAGTAGTTTCTGAGTTTGTAGTTAACTAACTCTGAAAATTAACATTTTTATTAAAATGGATAAGAAGTCAAGATATTGTAAATCTCCTGTTGTTTATCATTTTGTACTCCATTGTAACAAAGTAACACAGTTACCTGCTATCTTAACATGCACTCTGGTGAGTGTGGACACACAGAAGAATCTGACACATTTTGTGGAAACAAAAAACAATCATATACAGAGGTTCTGAAGATGCTAGGCAAAATAGTGTAGTTGAAGGAAAGTTTAAAAAAAAGTGATAGAGAGAGAAAGAGAGAGAGAGAGGGAAATGAAATATTTTGGCCATATTAAAAGATATAAAACCTTTATAAAAACCATGTTGGAGGGAAAAGTTTAAGTCAATCAAGCAAGAAGCAAATAGTGATACAAGTGGAAAGATACCATTAAGAGATAAACGAACGATAATCTGAGAATGTACATCCAGGGGGGAAAGACAAAGCATGATGGAGATCCATTGCAGCCAGCCATCTGACTGATTGATTGACGTAACCTGCAACTTTACCACCCATTAAATGAGACTGGGTCAAACCTAGGACCTTACTGGTTGTAAGAAATAACCCTGCCTCTCTGGGAATCTTGTCCACTGTTATTGTCCTGGCTAGTCTGTACTGTACGCTGACCACTCTACAACATGGCTACTTTTGTACAATTATGTGAATGTTGCATAGCATTTGTGTGATGCTTAGATGTTCATTTTCTAATCCAGTGCCACTTAGGACAACAAATTCCAACTTCACTGGTTCAGGTCTCTTCTGTGTTCATCTTTAAGTAGGCAGATCATCTTCCTGGGCTTATAAGTTCTGCCTGCCTACATTCTCTTTTGGGCTTTGTTGTTGCCGGAACTTCCACAAGGCATTGTTAGTTTTTTGTTAGCCTGTGTGAATAATATAAATAGTAATAATAATGTATTTACTTAGATTTCAACAAGGAAATTGTTGTTAGACTGGCACACTTGGGAAAATTTTTGTAACTTTTGAAAAAGAGAATGACTGATGTCACTGAGGCAGTATTCTCTATATTTGACAGGGCCTAACTATTCCAATCAACAATGCAAGACCAAGCAAGAATTTAACATTTACAAAACGAGAACCTATTGGGTAAGTCACTGACTTTTTCTTTTTTGTGTTTACCAGTTCAAAACTCCAGCAGAAAGTTCTAGTTGTTTGTCCATCTCCGGACTTGAGTCTTGTTCCAGAATGCAATTGTTATTTGCACATCCATTTTAATTATCTAGCGTATCTGTATGTAAGTAAAGTAAATAAAGGACCCTTTTCCACGCCTTTAGGCATATAGGGCTAGACCTATATTTTTATAGACCAGTTGGCACAAGATGGGTGATGTGGTCAGCATCCCACCGGGTATCTGTTAGTAGACTCTTGGTTTCTTGCCCCTCAGTCAGATATACTCTGACTTCAAGGGATGCCGGCAGTGAGTCGACTCCTGCCGCATGCTTGTTGAGGAGCCAGTGAGTCTATTCTTGTTTTCTCCACAACAAGGCCACAGAATTCATATTATCTTCTAATGATCTACAACATTTCTGATGATTGACTGCAATAAGAGCAAATGATGTACATTTTGAAGAAAAATTACAAATTACCTGCAACTGGGCTGCATAAAAAAAAATATCACAAACTGACACATCAGTCCCCCACAGTGAAAGTTGACTGCAACAAAATCTCCCATTCTTTGTGACTGTGGATTGAGTTGTTGGTATTTTTGTCCATCAGAAGACATGATGGAAACAATTATCATCAGATACGAGTAGATTTTTGTTAATATGATGTGGCTGAGGGGGCACAAAAAGTTCTAGGATATCGTGGAAAGCCTTCAAGATATGCAGCCATATGTCTTGTTATGCAGCAATGTCCATATTGATTAGGGAACTGTTAGATATATACAGATATGAATACAAAAGGGAAGAATAGCTTTCAAAGCTCTAGAACATTTCTGGCAGTAAAATTAACCCTGAGAAGCAGCTAGCTGAGCAGAATGCTGTTCTTTCATTTGGGAGACCAGGGTTTGAATCCTTAGTAAGGTAATGGAGTTCTTTACTTTCAGGGGCGAAAATAAAATCCCACCTTGCACTGTCCATGGCAGCTGCACTAGCCACACAGGCTCAAGCACCCCTTCCCTTGTCCATGGCAACTGCACTAGCCACACAGGCTCAAGCACCGCTTCCCTTGTCCATGGCAACTGCACTAGCCACACAGGCTCAAGCACCCCTTCCCTTGTCCATGGCAACTGCACTAACCACACAGGCTCAAGCACCCCTTTCCTTGTCCATGGCAACTGCACTAGCCACACAGGCTCATACACCCCTTCCCTTGTCCATGGCAACTGCACTAGCAACACAGGCTCAAGCACCCCTTCCCTTGTCCATGGCAACTGCACTAGCCACACAGGCTCACACATCCCTTTCCCTGTCCATGGCTATTGCACTAGCCACACAGGCTCAAGCACCACTTCCCTTGTCCATGGCAACTACACTAGCCACACAGGCTCAAGCACCCCTTCCCTTGTCCATGGCAATTGCACTAGCCACACAGGCTCAAGCACCACTTCCCCTGGGGAAGGGATGCCTTATAAAAAGTCATAAATAGAGGTAGTTTAAAGAAAGATTAAAGGTTCCTTTTTCTGCTTATGGCATATCTGACATATGATGTAAGACTTATATTTTTATATAGACCAGTCGGCATTCAGTAGGTGATGTGGTCAGCACAAATTGCGCTGCTTCTGCTTCCCAGAACATTATATTACCCATTTTGGGGCGGGTCGACTTGGTAGCCAAGGTATTTTTTTATTTCGTGTTTTTTTTTTTTTTTTTTTTTGAATTGATAACAATGCAGATTTGAATCTTACCCACAGGTAAGTGTTTATTCACTATGCCTTGACAGCTCTCAAATACAGGCAATAAAGGCAGTTTATTTTAAAATTAAACTTAGTATCAACTCAGATGTTAAAAGTGTAGTTACTGTATGATGCAGAAATGGGGAAAACGGCTTATACTGATAAACTACAATTTTAACTGGTGCTAGTACAAAACCATACCAAAAATGGTATGACAGAATCACTGATACAGAGATCAGGTTAAGAACTTTAACAGATTCCATTTGTACAGAGGTGATGACAAAAACACGGCGCTAGATAGGACACATAAGGAGAAAACCCATTTGAGGCTGGGTCGACCTGCGACGTCCCATACCACTATAAAAATCCACGCAGCCTGCAGTGGGCTTCGATCGCGGTACGTTGGATTACGAGTCAGACTGGCAACGCCTTAGCCACGGACGCCACGCGCTAGCAATAAAGCCTGGCCATAAATATGTTTCCGGGACCACTTCATGGGTGATCCTCATCCACATGGTGGCACTTTGTGTGATATCCTAGTAGGGTCAAATGTACTACTAGCAATCAGAAACACAAATGACAAGTGAATGTTGCGGCTAAAGGGCCTGAATGTGCACATTATATATATCAAAATAATTACACAATGTCATTTCACCCGATTTATTCCCAGTAAAGTCGCATTGCTCTCTGACCATTGTGATAAGCTACTAATAAAATTGACAGCTGCAGTAGAGAGATGGCTAGATGTTTACCTGAAGGTCTTAAGTTCCATTCTGCAATGAGGTTGACGCAGCAGGTGATGACATGGGAAGTGAAGGTGGCCATCATGATACTGACCACATCACCCATCGAGTGCCATTGGGTCTATAAATAACAAATGAGCTAGCATAATATGCCTGATGTGCCACTGGCACAAAAGTGGTTCTTTTACTTTTTTTTTTTTTACTTATAACGATTGTTCAGAGTCTTGCTGAAGATAAGAAGACATTTCAGGAGACGACCGTGAGCTGGCAACACTCATAAGACTACAAGAACTTCAGGTCAAAAAAGCTATCACCAAACATGAACACTATACAGGTAGTCAAAGAATAATAGTAAACCAACACAGGACTGGTGATATAAGTCGCCACGCGCTGGGGAATATACTGAAAATGGGATCCGAGTGCTTATGGGCTTGTCCAATGTGCAGTGAAGATAATCTGTCAATTAACTGACTACCTAACTAACTAACTGACTACCTAACTAACTAAAAAACACTAAGACCCTACAGTGTAAAGTGACGAGTTCTCATTGTTGCTGTGCCTCAGCTGTGGTTGTTTCAAGTAAATGCATGTTGATGGTGTACAAGGATTCTCAAAATCTAAAGCATTAGCCTCTGATTGTTTCAGTGTCTGTGCTATAGTTGTACCATGGAATTACCCCTTGATGATGCTGTCCTGGAAAATAGCTGCCTGCTTAGCAGCTGGAAACACTGTTGTATTGAAACCAGCCATGGTAAGGCAGTTGTTTTTGTGAGGACTGCATTCTATAAGAATATGTTCACTGTAGAAGACTGTAGTCACTATAGCAAGACTGTAGTCACTATAGCAAGACTGTAGTCACTATAGCAAGACTGTAGTCACTATAGCAAGACTGTAGTCACTATAGCAAGACTGTATTCACTATAGCAAGACTGTAGTCACTATATCAAGACTGTAGTCACTATAGCAAGACTGAATTCACTATAGCAAGACTGAATTCACTAAAGCAAGACTGTTGTCACTAAAGCAAGACTGTTGTCACTATAGCAAGACTGCAGTCACTTTAGCAAGACTGCAGTCACTTTAGCAAGACTGTAGTCACTATAGTAAGACTGTAGTCACTATAGCAAGACTGTAATCACTATAGCAAGACTGTAGTCACTATAACAAGACTGTATTCACTATAGCAAGACTGTAGTCACTATAGCAAGACTGTATTCACTTTAGCAAGACTGTATTCTGTAATTAAAAAAACATGTTAATTCTTCTGTTTTTAAAATATGTGATAAATTTGCAAAATATGTGATAAATTTGCTACAGTTAGTTTTTTTTTTTAGGGACATTCAACATTAAAGTGAGTAGAACTAGAAGAAAACAAAACATTCAGTAGTTAGCTCAGCTAAGTATATTAAAACATTGCAGGTAACTCCTTTGACAGCTTTGAAGTTTGCAGAGTTATCTGTTCTTGCTGGATTTCCACCTGGAGTTATAAATATAATACCTGGTTCAGGTGAGTGTTGTGTGACAGTACTTGAGTTTTTACTCCTACATTGTATGTTTGTGTGTGGGTGTTATTAGCTTAGCTTAGTGTCAATAGATTAATTTCAGTATGGGCTCATTTTCACTTTCATTGAAGGGGTCTGAGCAACATGTGCCACCCGCGACAGTGGAGAAATTGCAAACATACACACAACCATCTTACAAGATCACCTTGCTTTTGCCTTAGAGTGACTAGAAGGTCGGACTGGAGGAGTAGACTTGCACAACAACAAGACAGACTGGCTGGCTGGGAGCAGTGAAGACCCATGTACACTGAGCCACTCATGACCCATACTGGAATTGCCAGCATGTGTAATATCAAGCAGAGACAGCACCCATATTCCTTTAAAGCATCTGTCCTCTGCATTCTTGATCATTATGACCACTGACTGTCTTTTGTGTCTATCAGTCTATGCAGTGTTGACTCACTTTATAAGCCTGTATGTGTTAAGAAAACAAACCTCATCCACTTGGGGCTGTATAGATGACTTTGGATTGTTAATGTTTACTGCAGTGAATCAGAAGATGAGGAAAAGATGCTGACACTGGAAATGACACACATTGAAGAAACCTGATCAGAGTATAACTAGAATTTCCTTGCACTGAAAACCCCTAGGGTATATTAATAAAGAGACACACACAACATGGAAATAGGAATGAGAAACTAAGAGGAACACTATCTGTTATCTATATATATGATGGTGAGGAATAGGTTGACTTAGCACAAGAAGAAGTAGATAATGTTTGCTCTGCGTATAAGGGAGAAGAAACATTTACGTCTACTTTATTCTCCAGGGGCTCTTGTTGGTCAACATCTGTCAGAACACCCTCAAGTTAGAAAGATTGGCTTCACCGGTTCCACACCAGTGGGGAAAGTCATAATGGAGAGGTATTGTTGACTACCTTGTTGTGTTTCTTTGATTTTGTATTCGTGTTCTGCCTTTGGGGTTTTCTTAAATTGCTTATGTTGAGCCAGAAGGGGCAGCAGATATCATAGCCTAGCTGTAAACCACAACACAACATACCAGCCACCTTTTTAAGGTTGAACATGGAAGGAGGAGTGGAATCATGGAAACAAGACACATCACTGGAGGTACATGAATACCATATGCTATTGCTAGAGAGGAGAATACTGGCATCCTACAAGAGTATCTTATCTCAGAAATTAGCATTCTTTGGCCATCAGATACCATGGTAGATTGAAAAGAACAGCGATGGGTGTGGTGGGGGAGGGGAGCATCGTACCAGGTAGGACCATCATTCTGATGGGCATAGGACATATCAGACACCTTGAGCTGGAGAGTATGAAGCAGGTAGGACTCGGCTTCTAAAGGCATACTGTGATGAGAGCGACGTTTTAGACAGGCCATGCAACATGATGATCCAAGAGTTTACACTGCTGCAACATGATGATCTGAGAGTTTACACTGCTGCAACATGATGATCCAAGAGTTTACACTGCTGCAACATGATGATCTGAGAGTTTACACTGCTGCAACATGATGATCCAAGAGTTTACACTGCTGCAACATGATGATCTGAGAGTTTACACTGCTGCAACATGATGATCTGAGAATTTACACTGCTGCAACATGATGATCCAAGAGTTTACACTGCTGCAACATGATGATCTAGGAGTTTACACTGCTGCAACATGATGATCTAAGATTTTACACTGCTGCAACATGATGATCTAAGATTTTACACTGCTGCAACATGATGATCTAAGAATTTACACTGCTGCAACATGATGATCCAAGAGTTTACACTGCTGCAACATGATGATCTAAGATTTTACACTGCTGCAACATGATGATCTAAGAATTTACACTGCTGCAACATAATGATCCAAGAGTTTACACTGCTGCAACATGATGATCTAAGGGTTTACACTGCTGCTACATGATGATCTAAGATTTTACACTGCTGCAACATGATGACCTAAGAATTTACACTGCTGCAACATGATGATCCAAGAGTTTACACTGCTGCAACATGATGATCTAAGAATTTACACTGCTGCAACATAATGATCCAAGAGTTTACACTGCTGCTACATGATGATCCAAGAGTTTACACTGCTGCAACATGATGATCTAAGAATTTACACTGCTGCAACATAATGATCCAAGAGTTTACACTGCTGCTACATGATGATCCAAGAGTTTACACTGCTGCTACATGATGATCTAAGATTTTACACTGCTGCAACATGATGACCTAGGAGTTTACACTGCTGCAAAAAATTAGATGTCAATTCACTTATAGAAGGTGTGAAGAACAATAGTAGAAATCTGAAGACAGACACTAAACAGCAATATGTAGTGCCTCCATTCTAGAGGTTGGCTGCACTGGATATGTGCATTATCTGCTGTCTTTGAAAATAGTACATGGTGAGACTGCAGTCTATTCCACGGTGCAGCTCTCATATCACTGTCCAACAATATAAAGCCATAAGATCAGCCTTGTGAAGTCACACACTGAAAATCAGAAACATCTGCAGGTGTTATCATGTCATTTTGTCTAACCCATTACTTCAGAATAATACGACCTTGCTGAAGGAAGAAGCCAGTGTGCTTCCATATTTAGAGGTGGTCAGTTTGATTTTGAGTTTGCCATGTAGTTTTCTGTTGTTTTATTTTAAATATCTTCTCTGATTCATGTTTGTCTTCACTTTGTTTTCTTCTTCTTCTTTGCATTGACCAGCGGAAAGTTCTGGTTTTTCATCCATGTCTGGACTTTGAGCCTTGTTCCAGAACTTGAGTTTTGTATGCACATTAGTTTTACAGATCTGGCTTATTTGTATGCAGACTGTTGGTTCCTTGTCTGTCAGGCAGATGCACTTTGACTTTGAAGGAAAACACGCTTAATAAGTCAACGTGTATTACATGCTTGTAAGGGAGTAGTTGGTCTGTTTTCCTCCCCCCCCCCTTCCCCTTCCGACCCCCGACAGTGAGACCGCAGAACCACTTTGGGAAAACTGTCATTTAAAAGCAATTAATATCAGTGAAGGCGTTTTTCATTCTGCTTCTGCTGTAAACATCTGCAGAGATTGTCAGTTAAATGATGACCTTTCTCATGGATTTCAGCTGTGCCAAGGCTAACTTGAAGAAAGTCTCTCTGGAGCTGGGAGGCAAGTCTCCGTTGATCATCTTTAGTGACTGTGACCTTGACAAAGCTGTGAGACTCGGCTGCGGGGCGGTTTTCTTCAACAAGGGAGAGAACTGCATTGCTGCTGGTCGACTGTTTATAGAGGAATCAATACACGACGAGTTTATCCGTAGAGTTGTAAGTCTTGTCTCCCTATTTCTGCATGTTGGCTGGCTTGGCTTTTTTACCCCACCAGGACATCACACAAGCGATAAACACCCGATGACACAAAGTGCCACCATGCGGATGAGGATCACCGCGGAGAGGTCCCAGAAACCGCGTTCAGACATTTGGCCATAATGATGACCTGCCTATATTGCGGCCCCTGGCAAAAGCCAGAGTGGGGCTTCAAATAACAAGAAATAACGTCCTCAGAAGGACGTAATTTATATAATTTCTGCATGTTTGTTTATTACCACTTTTATTGCTTAGGATCAGACCTGTGCTCTGAGAATACTTTTCTATATCTGTTGTCATTCAGGAATATTTGTTTGTGTATGTGGACATTTTCAGATTAAACCCTTTCGCTGCTATGGACGAGATAACTCGTCTGCCCGGTAGACTGCTAAGGACGAGCTAACTCGTCTTCTGTTTTCTGTGCCCTCACTGCTAAGGACGAGCTAACTTGTCTGCGACTTTTCTTACTGATTGCTAAGAACTTTAATTCTCGGGGGTGAAATGGCAATATACATTACCTAAATCTGATCAAACTGACGCATTTACATACAATGAAAGCATTTCACATGTGTTTAGGTGTATTTAGATGCATTTCACCTTATCCTGTTGCTTTGTTACCATAGAAGCATGGTCGGTGAACGGTATATTTTTTGCCCTAAAATATATTTCTGGTTTTGCGTTAGTCTACTTTTTTTTTTAAATAATACAAAATAAGAAAATTGATTAATTACAATTAATGAAAAATTTATGGAGTTTCTTTCGAGGAGTAATAGTAAGGATAACTTTGAAATGTGTTGAGTTACATGAGCTGGGTTATCTTCGCGGCACACCGGCGGACACGTGTACTTCTAGCCGTGAGCAAGACTGACCATATGACCCAGCTATCTACATTGACTGGATTTAAAATGAATCTCCAATAATTAAAATGAAGATATTGTCACGTACTGACATGATAATTAATACTAATGTTTCTAAAATACTATACAACTGACAAAACTGTTTCTGTCTATCAAAGTATACACTACTGGTCCTAATTTCGGTACCAATTTTCATATGAATTTTTAGCATAGTTGGTATCACGTCTGCCTTACAATTGAAAGGTCCTGCGTTCAATTCCTACATGCCGTATTTTTAAAAAATTATTATTATTTTAAATGTAAATTCTAAATTTAAGCTCTTAGCTCTTTCGGCAACAGATCACCAAAGTATTAATTAATTAAACATCCTGTCACATGCGTTCAGGTGCATTTAGATGCGTTACACGTTATCCTGTTTGTGAAGCATGGTTGGTGTACTGTTCATTTGTGTGGAGAAACACTCCTGTTGCCCAATTCCACTTAATGTTAGTAAGAAAATTCTACAGAAATATTGCAAGGAAAAGAGAAAAAGTGTAGGAGGACAAAAAAGTTGAGATCTGCCACTTTGTTTAGTACAAAGGCATTTCCGTTCAATAATAGAGTCTGTAACATCACAGAAGAAATTCCCAACAAGAAAGTGTGTGGTATGTGCAGAAAGCAAAAAACGATGGGAAACCCAGATACATGTGCAAGGACTGTGATTTGGCATTGTGTGTCGCACCTTGTTTTGAAATATTTCACAGAAAAAGATAATAATAATAAAAAAAACTATGTATTTGCTTACAAAGTGTTTTGTGCTTGCTTTGTAAGTTTATAGTGTTTTCTTTTTGTTAATGAGTTTTCATGGCGTAGCCCAAGCGCGTCCGACTTGTCAGCGGAAAGGTCAACCATGCGCCTTCAAAAAGTTTTTATTTTAGGTGTACAATTTTTACCCCGCGCCGCAAGCGCGTCTTCTGCTTTTGGAGGGAAAAAAGGTATTCAGCACAGGAGGAAAGATTAGCACTCGCCTGGCTTAGCACAGTGGTTACGTTCGCAGCAGCAAAAGGGTTAAAAAATGTGATATTGAGGTTTGCTGTAACCTGTTTACACAGACTGTGTATGGTAATTTCTATCTCTCTCAGTATATTCTCCTTTTGCTTCTGCATTTGCCTTTGGAAGGCCGGTTGCCACATTGTGTTGTGGCTAGCACCCAAGCTGCAGTATCTTTGGTATCTTTACCTGTGATGCAACACATTTTTTTTCCAACAGACACCTAATCAGTTGCCTTTTAGGACATACTTGAGATGGGGCAGTAGATATACCCCCCCCCCCCCCCCCCCTTCCAAGTTGCCATAATATACATTCTTAGGAAGTTCAATAGAATGTGCGAGGTTCAGAGTAACTACTATGCAACCGCCCATCTCATATGTGACATAAATTCTCTTTTTAAAGGTTGGTGAAATCAAGAAGATGAAAATTGGTGACCCACTGGACCGATCCACCGACCATGGCCCCCAGAATCATCGTGCCCACTTAGAGTCCCTGATCAGGTTTTGCGACAACGGTGTGAAAGAGGGAGCCACTTTAGTCAGAGGAGGCAAACAAGTAGACAGGCCAGGTCAGAAAAACTTCTTGAAAATCATAATTTTGCTGGTTGTCTGTTTTACAGTGTCATTGTTGGAGATCAGAGTTGTAGGTTGTCCCTGATGTGTGAAGATAGAAGATGTTCGATAAAATGATGTGTGAATACAGAAGGTAAGGGTTCAACGTTGTCCCTGATAAGTGTAGATAGGAGATTTTTTATAAAATGATGCATTATTACTGAAAGTGAAGGTACAACATTGTCCCTGATGTGTGAAGATAGATGTTTGATAAAAAGATGTGTGATTACTGAAGATGAGGGTTCAACATTATCCCTGATGTGTTCGCAAAGGAAATGTTTAATTAAAAAGTGGGTAATTGTTTTATGTGGGTAGTAGCAATGATTGAAGTGAGATACATGTTAAAATTTGATACAGCTGACAGGGTCACAGATGAGAGTATAACTGTAAGTATTCCTGTGCTCCACAGGGAGCGCACGAGTATCGTGATCATGGTCAAACATTTGTTGCTTACATTTAAAGTTGTCTCTGTGTGTTGTCAGAATAGCATGAGTATTAGACTCTGCCATACCACAACACATATCCGCCCTTCTAATGAGTGGTCCACATCCTACCACACGCCAACTGACAATAAAGCCAAGTGAACTGAGTACTCTCGCAGCCACTCTGTTGCTCCTGCACATGCGCCATTTTAAGCCTCATTGTCAAACAAAACTTTAAACTTTTCTGAACATTTTTTATATCAAGTAAATATTTATTTTATCATCTTCTTCTTCTTTTTCTTCTTCTGTTCCACCTTGTATTTCGTCCAAGTGTCAGGGTGAGATGTAACATACTTTAATGAGCTCTGTCAAGAGCACTATTAAGACTGATGTTCATTTCTGTAAGGCGGTTCTTAATTTCATCACTCCATCTTTTCCTAAGTCTTCCACTCACTCTATAGCCGTATTCGCTTATTTTATCAAAACAGTTTCAAATCCTGACAATCATTCTTAACGACCCTGTATTTATATATATTTGTATATAATGTATATATATATATATATATACTATAGCTAATTTGTATTGATTGAATTGTTGTCAGGTCTTTTCTTTGAACCAACTGTCTTCACTGATGTCACAGACGACATGTGGATTGCTAAGGAAGAATCCTTTGGTCCAATCATGATTGTGTCCAAGTTTATTAATGGGTTTGTTTTTGTTCATATATAAGACATCATTATACTGGTTCTTCTTCTCTTAAACCCTTGAACGTCAGTCAGCATGACCAGTGGCAGTGTGTAGATAGCTGTTATCAGGCATCTCTGCTCTGTCCTATCTCAGTCTTCTCATCCACCTTCTTCTTCTGCCTTTCTAACCCCCAGTGAAGCATAGGCCCTTAACAAACTCACGCCAAACGGTTCTATCCTTCACCATCACGTGCAGTTCTTTCTATGTCTTCCCAATTTTTTTTTAACTTCACTTTCTAGCTCCCTGTTCCATGTGTTTTTTTTATTTTATTTTATTCCTATGCCCCTGTGGGTTCAAGTGCAAAACATTCTAGTCATATTGTTCTCAGGTTTTCTCAAAGTGTGTCATATCCAATGCCAGCATCTTTTCTTCACCTCTTGGTCCACTGGAATTTGCTTAGTTCTGTTCCAAATCCAACTTATGTCAAAGCCGGAATTGTTGACTTTTTTCTAGGATTCAGCAGCTTTCCAATGGAAATACCAACATGTGGTATTTATAACTGACTCACAGAGAGCAGCACAACCCAACATGTGGTATCTATAACTGACTCACAGAGAGCAGCACAACCCAACATGAGGTATCTATAACTGACTCACAGAGAGCAGCACAACCCAACATGTGGTATCTATAACTGACTCACAGAGAGCAGCACAACCCAACATGTGGTATTTATAACTGACTCACAGAGAGCAGCACAGCCCAACATGTGGTATTTATAACTGACTCACAGAGAGCAGCACAGCCCAATATGTGGTATTTGTATCTGACTCACAGAGAGCAGCACAGCCTAATATGTGGTATTTGTAACTGACTCACAGAGAACAGCACAGCCCAATATGTGGTATTTGTAACTGACTCACAGAGAGCAGCACAGCCCAACATATGGTATCTGTAACTGACTCACAGAGAGCAGCACAGCCCAATATGTGGTATTTGTATCTGACTCACAGAGAGCAGCACAGCCCAATATGTGGTATTTGTATCTGACTCACAGAGAGCAGCACAGCCCAATATGTGGTATTTGTAACTGACTCACAGAGAACAGCACAGCCCAATATGTGGTATTTGTAACTGACTCACAGAGAGCAGCACAGCCCAATATGTGGTATTTGTAACTGACTCACAGAGAACAGCACAGCCCAATATGTGGTATTTGTAACTGACTCACAGAGAGCAGCACAGCCCAACATATGGTATCTGTAACTGACTCACAGAGAGCAGCACAGCCCAACATATGGTATCTGTAACTGACTCACAGAGCGTGCCTTGAAAATAGAAACTGGCATGCAGACTGGCTTATATTGCTTGATCAGGAGCGTATCATGAATTTTCCATTCAGGATTGCGGGGTTATGAGCAGGCTGATATATTTTGGCTGCTGCCACTCCTCTAGGTGGTGAGCTACATTAGGGTAAAGCAGAAGTGGTGAAGGCTGTCCAGGATCAAGTGGACAGTGCAACAGAACAGATCCAGTGTCCACACATTGACAGGTTAATTCAGCAAGGGTGAGCAGTGGGTCTAGGAGAGGGAATAACATAGGCAGACTTTTTAATCAGGTTGGCACTGGTACTTTTAGACTCTTCTTTAGCTTCTGAAAAGAAGACGGATCACCTATGGGAATGTCCCAAGTGCAGGGATATCAGTTCTTGATTAATTTATTCTAAGATCTTTTATATTTTAGTGATGCAAAATCCAGTCAGACTGCTGGAAATTCACATGAGTCCCAACTTCTGAAGGGGTGGGCACATGGTTGTGCTTAATCCAGACACCAAAACACAGAGATAGGGCTTTGTTCATTTGTTATTGGTGATTGTGTGAAGCTGGCTAGTTCTGCTTCTCATTTTGTTTGATGTCTTATTGTGAAATAGTTCAGTTCACATCCAGCTACTTCACATCCAGCTACTTCACATCCAGCTACTTCACATCCAGCTACTTCACATCTAGCTACTTCACATCCAATAATGTGACTCGCTTCCATGAAGCTTTATACATGTTTCCCCACATTGTTGGATATTTAAGCCTAGCCAAACCAAACACATCCTGACAGTGAGGTAGAGGTTACTGAATTATTACTTGTGTGGTACTGAAAGACTCATTATAAAGTATTTGATGCAGTTATGTTAATTTTCTTATGTGTTGTTCCCCCCCCCCCCCTTTTTTTTTTATAGCGATATTGAAGGTGTCCTCCGCAGTGCAAATAATACTGAATATGGCTTAGCATCTGGTGTATTTACTCGGGACATTGACAAAGCCATGAGAGTTGCAGAAAGCCTTCAGGCTGGGACTGTGTTTGTCAATACATACAACAAGACTGATGTTGCTGCCCCGTTTGGTGGATTTAAGCAATCAGGGTTCGGGAAAGATTTGGGTATGTTCTCTGCTTAGCTTTTTTACTTGTAGCTCTACTTCTAACTTTTGTTAACTTTGAACAAAGAAGACTGTCAATGTGAATTTGGTATTTCAGTTTTAAAGGATTCATTAATTTGCTTAATTTTTTTAAGTTGTTACCGTAGTATGCACCTGATGAGATAGAGCAAAATATGCTAGGAAATAAATTGTCCAATCTATTATTCTTAACTTCTTTCTAGAGTGTAGAACCTGCAAATAAATGAACAGCTTCTTAAACAAGCTTTATTTTTAAAGGGTTCAGATGTGAGCACCCAAGTCTGCTTTACGTTTCGCAAGTGTTATCTTGCTTATTTCACATATTATTTCATTTGGACATCCATCTATTGAAGCTTAATCTTAAGAAAAATCATCATCAGAAAAATCATCATCAAGTGCCTTGCCGACTGGCGTGGACGATCATGCCTCTCCATAATCTGCGATCTCCTGCAGCATGTATCAGTTCGTGTGCCGACACACCTCCATGCCATGCAACAAGACTGTCAAGCATCTTCTCTCATTTTCTTCCTCTATCTCTCCTTCCACATATCTTTCCAGTGGTCACAACATGTTCTATTTTCCCTCTTCTCATAACATGGCCGAAAAATGATGACTGTCTCCTTCTGATGTCTGTGATAAGTTGTCTTCCGGCTCCCACCTCTTTCAAAACCTCTCGGTTGCTCTTTTTGACTGTCCAAGGTATTCTAAGCATTCTTCAGTAAAACCACATCTCCAAAGCCTCCAGAAATTGTTTGGCCTGCCTACCGATTGTCCAGGATTCACAGCTATATGTTAAAACTGGATGTATGTAGCAAGCAAGAATTCTTTTTCTAACTCTCAATGACAAGGATATATTGCACAAGATGTTTTTCATTATATAAAATGCAGTTTTTGCCTGTCCTATTCTGTTTCTTATCTCAGTTATGCATCTTCCATCTGATGTTATCCATATGCCCAGATACTTAAATTTCTGTACTTGTCCTAAAATAACACCATCAACTTTTATTACACACTTAGGAAAAATCATACATCCATTAAAAACATGTGGAAAGTGTGCAAATACCATTACATTATCACTAATAGTTACTTCTTCTATGACGATTGGCTGTGAACTCCAGCAGAAAGTCCTAGCCGGTCATGTGTGTCTAGACTTTCATCTTATTTTGAGACTTGAATGCAGGATGCACAACCATTTTCCAGATCTGGCTTATTGTGAGCAGACTGTTGGTTTCCATTTTCAAAGGAAGAATCAACCCTCGCTACGTCATCCAAGCTCCCTGTAGGGTGACCATGAAGAGGTGTGGACATGTCTTGACCAGCACAATTCCTGGTCTTGGGGGCACCACCTCGGTGGCAGTAATGCTTCCCACTGATTGATTATTCCGGTTCTTCATATACCTTGTTAGGTTCTTTGTGAAGATAAACAAGGCTAATCAGTGAACAAATAAAGAAAACTCTTTGTCAAGGGTCACAAATTGGGAATGCAGGCCCATCTTACATATGGCCCTACATTAATCTTTTTTCATAAATCAACTGTATTTTTATAATATTATGCTCAAATAGCAAAACACATAATCTGTGTGTTGAGGAACCAAAATACAAAAGCATGGAAGGCACATACATACATTCCAGTAAACAAACATGCATTTAAACACACATACATGCACAATTCACACTGCTTACCTATACACTTATATGTCCACATGCATGCATGCATGCATGCATGCATGCATGCATGCATACATGCATACATACATACATACATACATACATACATACATACATACATACATACATACATACATACATACATACATACATACATACATACATACATACATACATACATGTAATGGCATCCGTCAGTCCCGGGGGACTATGGAGATGTGCCGCTGGCTTTGGGAACAGCATCTGCTGTGACTGTAAAGTCCAATGCGGGAATGGCAGTCTTTGCCACACAGGATACACACAAAAGCAGATACTCCCTCGTTGTGAGGCAGTTTTACTCTCCGGTGCCTCCTCTCCACAGCTCGTTGTGTTCAGTTTCTTTCAAAATGTGACAGTCCATCTTTCACTTTCTGTCTCCATAGCAGTCGATCTGCAGCTGATTTTTCCCATGTCTCTGTGCCTATGTTGGTATCTATTAGGTCACGTTTGCATACATCTTTATAGCGCAGCTTTGGCCTTCCTGTAGGTCTATTCCCAGTTACCAATTCACCATATAGGAGATCTTTTGGAATACGACCATCCTCCATGCGGGAGACATGTCCCAGCCAGCACAGACGTCTTTGCTTCAGTATACAATACATTGATGGTATTTTTGCTCTTGTGAGCACACATTCGTTGGAGACAAGGTATCGCCATAATATACCAAGGATGTGTCTCAGACAGCGCATATGGAAGGTATTCAGTCTTTTTTCCTGTGTAGCTAGACTCGTATGTGTATAGATCAGTCAGCACTCTGTGGGTAATTTCATCAACATCACACCGGCTGCCTTTACCTCCCAGGACATAACCTGCTAGCTATTTTAGCCTGGGTCAGCTAGGGAGCCAGTTTTGAATACAAAAAATATGACGAGGACTTCAACTCAAGACTTTAGGGCTAGCAGGTGAGTATCTAGCCACTGTGCTAGCGAGGCTCCAATGTTTCTTATTATACCTAATACTGCTGAAATAGATGCTCTTCCATGCCAACATACCTCCACTACAAGAATTGCATTAACATGTAACATAACTATTACTTTCATTCTTCAGGTGAGGAGGCCCTCAATGAGTACCTGAAGACCAAAGCTGTCACTATAGAATATAACTGAGGCTTCCATGTAAGGTTTTGTTATTGGTAAGCATGAAACTTGAACTTGTTACCTTCTTTAGTCAATATCTGCTCTTTGGGCCACTAGGCATAGCAGTTTAGCAGATGGTCAGTAGCTGAGTGGGAGTTGCCGTGGCAGAGCGGCTAGACGCGCGCGGCGGATCGGAAGGTCGTGGGTTTGCTCCCTGGCTGGCGGAGCCGGACTTTTCTTCAAAAATGACCTTGACTCCCAGGTCAACCCAGCCTTGAGCGGGTACCTGATGCAGTCCCGGGAAGTAAAGGTGGCCGGCGTGATGCTGACCACATCACCCATCTTGTGCCGTTGGTCAATTAAAAAAAAAGGTCTAGCCTTATATGTCTTATACGCCTAAAGGCCTGGAAAGGGTCCTTTACTTTTTTACAGTAGCTGAGCTAAAGCCTGCCCAGCTGCTTGGTATGCTGTGATGTGTTGAAGTCTTAGTCTGTGACTTGACTCCTTCAGTAGATCTTTTTTTTTCTTAAGTCTCCCTCTTAGTGTTTCCATTGTTACATTGTACACTCTTCCTGCTGATATCGTAAATTTGTTCTCACTAGGTGGCCAAACCGTTTCTGTTATTTGTTTCTCAGTAAATTTAATTATTGATGTTGTTCCAATAGTTATTCTGGTCTCTTCATTTCTCACATGATCACTTCTGGTTGTGTTTGCCTCAAACATCTTCCACAGGGGAATAACTTACATGATAGAGCCTTTTTCATGCTTGAGGCATTTTTTGAAATATGATGCTAGCCACATATTTTGATAGACTAAAGGGCTCTCAGTAGTCAGTCAGTGTCATGCTTGCCACCTGTACTTCCAAAAACATTTCCTGGTACTCATATTTAATGCCTGAGAAAACTGATGAACATTGAATGTGATAAATTCAAGAAAGATGACAAAATGAAAGACATTTCTGGACCACCAGTGGTGTCAGTAGTTAAGGCAAGGCTATACTGGACATTTACTGAGAAGAAGCGAACAGAGAATCACCAAACAGGCTTTGAAATGGGAAGCAGCTGAACTGAAGAAATTAGGACATCCAGGAGAAACACTACAATAGAGGCCAGTGACAGAGGCCAGTGAGTTCCATCCATGATATCGAAAGGATTGCACAGGATAATATGAAATGAAGGAATAGATTGCGAGCCATGTGTCACCTATAGTGGTCACGGGATGATGATGGTGAAATTAAGCTGTGTGGACCTGTAGTCCTGGTCAGTTATGTTTTTAAATCTCTTTCATGGGGATTCGGACAAATGACCAGTGGGCAGGCAGGAAGGCAAGCAGGACTAGAGACACCTTATAGGATTTGGTGAATAATTCTAAAACAGTCAGTGTTATATGGACATATTATAAGAAGAAATAGACTCCAGATTCTGGTTTACAACTGGCAGGATGGATAGAAAAAGAACAAGGGGACAGAAAAGAGATAGTGGATTGCTTAGATGTATTTAGATGTATGGATGTGGGGGGGGGGACACTAACCTGATTTATGATATCTTGGTAATCTTGGTAATCTTAGTTTCAGCTTCATAGCGAACGAGTCACCCCATAGTTGCTGATTTATGATATTGTCAAACTTGACAGCTTGCACTTACCAGCATGGCACATAATGATGATGAATCCTCAAACACAATAAGATGCAGATCTGGATTTTTTTCTGAAGAGGAAAATAGTGTGGAAATGTCTAAGAGAATGACAGCATCACATGTGGGCGGACAACATCAAAAGATGGACTGGGAAAAGTCTGATAGCACTCTCAAAACAAAGACTGAGGGGTGTGAAGAATCTTTTACAGCCTACCTTTGGTGGAAAGATGGCATACACTGATGATCAAATCTTGAAAAAACGTTATCAATAAATACGTGTGTATTTGCAGCTGAAATTTTACTTATTTTATTTCTTCTGTTATGGATCTGTTGACAGTCATCATTTTATTTCTTATGTTATGTATCTATCTGTTGACAGTCACCATTTTATTTCTTCTGTTACAGATCTGTTAACAGTTACTTTTTTCTCCTGTTACGGATCTGTTGACAGTCACCTTTTTATTTCTTCTGTTACAGATCTCTTGACAGTCACCTTTTTATTTCTTCTGTTACAGATCTGTTGACAGACACCTTTTTATTTCTTCTGTTACAGATCTGTTAACAGTCACCTTTTTATTTCTTCTGTTACAGATCTGTTAACAGTCATCTATTTTTTCTTTTGTTACTAATCTGTTGACAGTCATCTTTTTATTTCTTCTGTTAAGGATCTGTTGACAGTCACCTTTTTATTTCTTCTGTTACAGATCTGTTGACAGACATCTTTTTATTTCTTCTGTTACAGATCTGTTGACAGTCACCTTTTTATTTCTTCTGTTACAGATCTGTTGACAGACACCTTTTTATTCTTCTGTTACAGATCTGTTGACAGTCACCTTTTTATTTATTTTGTTACAGATCTGTTGATAGTCACCTTTTTATTTATTTTGTTACAGATCTGTTGGTAGTCACCATTATAATTTCTTATTTTACAGACCTGTTGACAGTCACCATTTTATTTCTTCTGTTACAGATCTGTTGAAAGTTGCCATAGACACACAATCGGCTGGGGTTGCATTTAATTCTTGAACTGCTCATGTTGTCATTTTATAACATTTTGTTTCACATTTGTTGTAACAGGTTGTTTATCATTTTATTTAACATTTGTTATGCGTGTGTGCATTTCTGGATATTGGATAATAAATAACTGCACAAATATATGGATTTTGGTGAGGTAGTACCTTAAATATAATTTTTAAACTACATGTAGATTCTATAGAACATAGAAATATTTGTTTCCTTTGTCGAGCTCGTCTTCGATGTGCCTATGTGAGATCTTCATCAAACTTTTAGATGATGAAGAGCACCATTGTTGCACAAAGTTGCATCATTGTCTGTTACAAGATCTACATTAGATAATCAGGAGATATAAAGGAATAGATCCATGAGCGCCAGTGTTTGCTTCAGGCCAAGTAACTGAACAACAAGAAGAAGCAGGCAACTTGAGGTCTGATGTTACTGATGATTGATCATGCCATGTTAATGAACTGAATGAAGAAGTGGAGGGTATTCAGGCAACTATACAAGAGAGTTTCTTTCAGGCAGACCGTGATGAGAGCGACATTCTGCAAAGGACCTGCTACATGATGATGATACAAGAACCGAGTTAAGAACCGACATTGTAGCACTTGGAGTATATCCATAAGCGCTCTATCCCCATCTTCAGCAGCCAGCACAGAGTTCCAGCACCAGACCTACCAGTAACAGTCTGATCACCATCTCGCCCCTGAGTGTTGAGCATCAGCCAGATCCTCTAGTCACTGTACAAGAGATGTGCAGAATGAAACATTTGCAAATAGAAGATGTGATCCTTGTTTTAAAACTCCCTGTGTGTTGTGCCATATATTTATTTTTTTTGTCATCTGGAGTCAAGTTCATACTTTGGTAGCTGTAGTTTTTCTTTCTTTATTTCAACATTCACTGTGAGTATGCTGTAAAGCCATATAACATGGTTGTTGGCATATTCTGGGAGGTGTGATATATAGACATAACATAGTTGTTGGCATAGACTGGGAGGGTGATATATAGACATAACATAGTTGTTGGCATAGACTGGGAGGGTAATATGTAGACACAACATAGTTGTTGACATAGACTGGGAGGGTAATATGTAGACACAACATAGTTGTTGGCATAGACTGGGAGGGTAATATGTAGACACAACATAGTTTTTGGCATAGACTGGGAGGGTAATATGTAGACACAACATAGTTGTTGACATTGACCAAGAGGCTGACAGAGAATGCTGCATACACACACACACAAACACACTGCTAACAGATAACATGTTAATCACTGACTGACTCCTGGGCATCTTTCCTGCCTTTAATTTTCGCCCCTCCTAGTTGCTGCCTGAAAGTTTGACTACCCTGAGTCTCAGTCTTGATGACAAGCCAACAAGACCAATCGATGATAGCCACACTCAACCTTCACAGAAATAATTGGGGCAACCCTATCGGCCACATTAGCCTCTTGCAGCCACAGTCCTGCGTGGGGAAGAATTATCTCTATTATATATACTGCTAGGCATGCAGCTTCTCTGTTCGGTGTTGACTCATTTTGTTTGTAATGTGGCACCAGTTGTGCATCCTAAAACAATCAGGATGGTCTCTGAGATACATGGATATGGAGTTTGTTACAGCAGTGTGTCTTCTGTATCTGCTGCTCAGATTAGAGCAAGCAGCACATATGTAGACAACTAATCTTTGTTTGATGCTTGTTATCCTTGGCAGCTAAATGTACAGTGTATTTTTGTTGACAACTTTACAATATTGCCTGGTTGTACTGTATATTGTCTTAAGCTACTTACATAACAGGCATGCTGTTTCATTGTAGATTCATCTCTATAGGTCTGTGCTATATGCAGTATGGCTTCCTTTAACATAAGTCTATATATAGCAGAAATAGATTTTGTAACATAATATAGTCATAGAATCACATATTCTTTTAACAGTTGTTGCAGAAAGTGCGACAGCAAGGACACATATATTTCTATAAATGTTCTACAATATTTTCCTGATTGGATTGGGGGGGGGGGGGGGGGGCTGTCTAACATCTAATTAGGCAGTGCTTGAATTATCTGTACCTAGCCATGAATGCAGATAGCCCTAAATCCTCAGTCTTAAATCCCCCCCCCCCCCCACCACCACCTTCACTTTCCCTGACCTACACTGCCAAAAAGTGGTGAATTCTGAGACTAAAGACAGTATTTTCTGCACACTGTATTATATATCAGGTATCTGTTTGCTAATATGCGGGTGTGTTTACAATTACATTTAATAAGAACTTGAAATCTGCATAAACAAGAATATATGTGTCATTGTTTTGCTGGATCACAATGTTTAATCAGTTAATACTTTATTTGATTATTTTGCTTATGATACTAAGACTGTAGCCCTG